GTCTTTACCAAATGTGGAACTGCAACGGTCGCGATGCGAACGTTCTTCTGACTGAAAGCCGCACCACTTTCTAGTGCCGGCGGAATGTTGTTAAGGTGTTCGGGTCATCCCTTGTCACATGTCCCCATGCAACGTTTCTGATTCGTTCAAAATTACATCATTACATGGTTTCATGTCTTACCTCGTGATCGGAGAATTACTGTAAGCTACCCATCGCTGATTCACCATCAACTAATACTGTAAGAGTCTGTTGGATTCTGTTACTCCTAGTGGTTAAAGCGTTGGCTCGTCACGCCGAAGACCCGGGTTCGATTCCCCACATGGGCACAATGAGTGAAGCCCATTTCTGGTGTCCCCCGCCGTGATATTGCTGGAATATTGCTAAAAGCGGCGTAAAACTAAACTCAGTCAGTCAGTCAGTAGTATGTCCTATATCTCTTGATTTATTACCATCTTTTCTGTCACAAAATAACCACAATTCTCAGTAATGGGTTTGTTTTACTTGTCTTGTATAACAGGTGTATATATTCATGAAATGGTGCAGTTGGTTTTGAGGAAAATAATGTGTTTGTTTGTTCGTTTTTTTGTAGTTTAGCGCTACACTCAGCCCTATCCCAACTATGTGGCGTCGGTCTGTAAATAATAGTCTGGACCAGGCAATCCAGTGATTACCAGCATGAGCATCGATCTACACAACTGAGATACGATGACATGTGTCAACCAAGTCAGCGAGCCTGACACCCGCCTCTTACGACAAGCAGGGGTTGCTGAAGATCAATTCTAACCCGGGTCTTAACGGGTGGAAAACAGTGTACATCACCGAATACGCCATTACTTTTAAAAACTCTTAATGGCGTCTTCTCTAGCCTATTGGTTAAAGCGTTCGCTCGTCATGCCGAATCTCCACATGGGTACAATGTGTGAAGCGTATTTCTGGTGTCCCCCGCCGTGATATTGCTGGAATATAAGCGACGTAAACCCGAACTCGCTCACTCATTGCATACTAATAAATGGGTTAATTTCTTTGTTAAATGGTTTAATAAAAGAATGACTTTATATTCATAAATAGATACCCAGTTCTTATAACAAAGGAGAAATATATGTCGCCCAAGATTATTCCAGACAGGCTCTATTTGTGGCAAGTCGAGTGAGGTGAGGTGAGGTGAAATTGGGTTTAACGTCGTGCTTGAGAATATTTCGCTCATATGACGACGTGCATGCGTATGTATGTGTGTGTGTGTGTGTGTGTGCGGCTACTTGTACTAGCCCAAACTGAAGCTCAGACACATTATACTGACTCCGAGCCGACCAGTCCTTGTTGTACCCATTAATGCCGAGCGCCAGGCAGAGACCAACAAGTACCATATTTTAACGTCTTTTGGTATGACGCGGTCGGGGATGGAACCCGCGACCTTCCGCTCTCCGGGCGGACGCTCTAACCACTACACCACGGAGGCGGTCCAAGTCGAGTGAGAGAAACAACCAGGGTAACGCAGGAAGTTACTGATACCGAGAAAATCCTCGATGATTCACACAGCATGGGGCCATGCATTCCACGGATGGAACACCATTCCTTGTGACTTTCTACCTGACAGGGAAGGGCAGCTGGGTTCAAAATGACAACCCTGTAACATCATGAAGTGGGGTAGCCTAGTGGTTAAAGCGTTCGCTCGTCATGCCGAAGACCCGGGTTCAATTCCCCACATGGGTACCATGTGTTAAGCCCATTTCTGATCAACAGAAAAAAAACTAATTTGCAAGATTAAGCTTCTGTTAATAAAAATACACTCCAGTCAGATATATTTTATGTAAAATGACGTTACTCACTGTTTATGCCTTTCGAAAACGTTGTTTACGAATCTGACGTCTTCAAAAGAATTTGATTTATGTATACTGATAACAACTGTAATCCATAAACAAAAACATACCAAAGGTCTGGCCTTATGTGATTTTAAACTGTTGAGATGTACGCCAAACTAAATTCCTATCAAATTTGTCCGGTGGAAGGTTCCGAATTTCATGGAATCAACTCAGACGTTCCTGTACACGGCTTATGGTGTAAGGGAGGTTACTCTTCATACCAGTGTCGCCTTCATGTTTTGCTGACAATAATTTTTCCGAATTAAATATCATCCACCATCTAACCCCCAGCTTGTCCAAGACATGCGTCAAACTATATCATTTTAATGGAATTGAAGAAAATTATATATTTTATTTAAATAAGTTGTATTGTCAAAGAAATATCAAACATCGAAAGAAGCGCACTAAAATCCTTTCAGATCATTTCTGAAACCTAAACTGTGTTTATCACTAATAACAAGAATCATTATTTATAAAAATAAAGCATTCCTTGTCGGTCGTACTGTTTCACATATTCATGTTCAGTAAATGAAATTATGTTGAGGCGATTAATATGTGTTCCTGACTCAAAACGTCGAAAGCTGAAATGGCAAGTTTGCAGCATGTTGAATGTAGTAGTGGTTGTGTGTGTGCGTGCGCGTGTGTGTCTGTCTATCTGTATGACCTCTGACTAATTGTTGGGACATGTTCACCACCATCCTCGAAAATAGCCTGTTTTGCCATCCATCCATTAATCAACTCTACCACCGAGTCACTAGAACCGAGAAGATCCGGGTTAGAATTTATTTTCAGTAACCCATGCTTGTCGTAAGAGGCGACTAACGGGATTGGGTGGTTAGGCTCGCTAGCTTGGTTGACACATGTCATCGGTTCCCAGCTGCGTAGATCGATGCTCATGCTGTTGATCACTGGATTGTATGGTCCAAAGTCGATGATCTACAGACCGCCGCCATATAGCTGGAAAATTGATAACGAACATCCGAAACCAGTATCTGGTCCGGGTCTGCAGATAGCAATAAGCTAATCAAATTCACTGTGAACTTCACCCATCAACACCGATGTCTTCAATACGTTTATGAAAATTATCATATAATCCGGTCAAGATAGAGTAGCTTAAGTGCGCAGTTGGCACCGTATCGTCAGTCGAGTTAGGCAATAGGATTTAGATATGATAATAATGTTATCAATGTCACCCTGAGCAGCTGGAAGATTGTGAACCGTGGTCAGTTAATCTGTACATGTCCAGTTTTCAATAATATATACTGTCATAAATATTGGTAAAACTTTATCCAGTTTTACCGTGTAAATAGTATGATAAAGAAGCTGTCATCCATGAAGTATCATAACGTTGTTATTATTCATCAACCTCTAAAATGATAATCATAAAGAGCTATGTTTAAAGTTTGTATCCTTGTTTACACTACAGTCATGCATTTGTGAATACGTTCTAATTTTGTACTTTGTTTCGGTTTTTATACTACATATACTACCCATCAGAAGTTTAGACACGCTAGTGTAAATGTAGCCACTTTCTTCAGTCAGCTGTTCTAAACTATACTACCCATCAACAGTTTAGACACACATAAAGCACTCATTACATGTTATGTATGTATATATGGTTACATCGAAGATTAATTTCTCTACAACTTGGGGGAACCAACTGCACACCTTATGCAGATGATGTTGCAAGGGGATCATGCATCAAATTGCTGCAACGCATGTGCAAATATCATGCATGTGAACAGCTGCGTTTTGGTGTTGAGTTTTGTTAAGAATTCGCCAATTTTCACTGAGTTTCACCATTTATTCAACTCATGACAGTAATCTTTTCAACGTTTCGAATTTGTTTTACAATACATCAGTACATGTATAAACAGTACGGAATATTTTGCAAAATCTAGTTTAGAACAGTTGACTGAAGTAATAAAAGTGGCTACATTTACACTAGTGAGTCTAAACTTTTGATAGGTAGTATAGATTTTGCTAAATATTCCATAATGTTTAAAGGTACTGTTTACACATGAACTGATGTATTGTAAAATAAATTCGTAAAGTTGAAAAATATATTTTCATGAGTTCAGTAAATCATGAAACTCAGTGTAACAATTGGCGAATTCTTAACAAAACTTTACACAAAAACGCAGCTGTTCACATGCACGATATTTGCACATGCTTTTCAGAAAATTGATGCATGATCCTCGTGCAGTTCACCTGCATAACGTTTGCAGTTGGTTCCCCTAAGTTAGTGGAGAAATTAATCTTCGATGTAACCGTCACATATATACATAACATATAGTGCGTGCTTTAAGTGAGTCTAAACTTTTGATGGGTAGTATACATACCTTTACAACGATATATATATATATATATATATATATATATATATATATATATATATATATATATATATATAGAGAGAGAGAGAGAGAGAGAGTACAGTCTATGCGTCACCACTGACATGACCTTTTTTGGTGACCTTGTTCCTAATGACCCCTTGGCCCCATCCCATCGAGCCATTATTTGAAGCGCTCGTAAAATATCACAATTCTCCTTATATGAAACGTTAAAATACGAAGGAATATTTGTCAAGGCTAAAGTACGGTTAACAGTCTTATCAACTCCCCTCATATATGTTGACAATATATACTACAGGAGATCTACAACCCACAATAACAACCCCCATTCCCAAAACAGTTTGACATGTGTCATGTGACCAGCTAAGGTGTACATCGGGTCACATGATCACCGTACATGTTGAGGAAGTGTAGGTATGGCGGCTTGAGGAACCTGCTCCGCTGCCTCAAATTCGAGCTCAGGTAAATCCACTCATTATCACCTGTTTGTTTGCTTCCTTCAACCGTTCATCACAATCGTCAATCACGCAAATATACTTACACCAATTTATTTGCACTCTGAGGTGGAACTGTAGCAGATATTCGCAATTCTTGGATTCTCCATAATCAGCTCTTCTGCTTGCAGTGAATGAGAGGTGTAACGATGCATAACTTTCATGATAAACAAGTTGCGCTGTACGTACTCTATCCCAAATGTATATAAATAGACTGCCCGCAGCATCGCTTTTCCGGGCCGTGTTTGCGAGTAGCTGAGGGGGGAAGATAGATGAAAACTACCTGACAACGGCTCGCAGGGTCAACATGGTGGAAAATGTGAGGTATTTTTCACGTCAGACGTTCCAGCAAGTGCAGGGATGTAATGCCAATAATTGATTCATACATGTATCTAGTCAGAGCGTGTCTAGTATTACATGCCTCGGCAATTTGGATATATAACTCCAGCTGCAGACAGTGCACACATCTACAGGAACGCTGGGAAAAGGCTTAACAAGAAGCAAGCTATCAGTTTGTTGAGGTAGATACTATTTCTGTTTGATTGGCATTTCCTGGGAGTTGAGGAATGACAAAATAGACACAATTCAATGATAAAAAAGTTCTACCATTGCTAAATAGTAGGCCTACATTAAAGAAGTTGTGTCCATCAATTGTGTCTACTTTAAATTCTATTCATCTACTGTCTTGTAATTATATGATATTGGCTGCACAATTTGGGTGATCTTTTCTGAAACAAATGTCGTAGGTTGATCTACCTCTTTGGGAAATTTTGTCCCAAGATATTATGCTATATAAGTCTACAGGGCTCCAGATAATTTTGCATGATCAGGAGTACTTACTCCTTATTTTTTCAATATAGGAGTACTGGAAAACAATAAGAGTACATTTAGAGTACTGAATGGAATTTAATGGCGTAGCAGTAATCTTGTGTTTCATTTCATATATGCACCACAACATTGCTACTCTTGTGTAAACAGGTCAGTAAACAATAATACTTTTTCAGATAAATACGTCTGTAAATGATTCTGAAACCGTACACCATTGCTGTCGTGCGTATCTGCTACGTTTTTACAATTGTTTCCTACCGTATCGTGCTTATTTTATATCCGTACATACGCCGATACGGCCCTTATCTGGAGCCCTGAGTCTAAATATATATTGTTTGAAACGCAGATAGTTAGCATGAACATAATAATATTATCCACAAGTGTGTGTGTGTGTGTTACTTCTTCCTGAAGTTAAATCTGAAATGTTGAGTATAATTCATGCTGTGTGGGTGTGTTCTGAATTTCATTAAATGTCTCTATATGTTTAAATTATGTAGTACTGAAAGAAGTTAAGGATCACCCGTGTCTTTCATACACTGACAGCTTATGTGGAGTACTATGAAACAGTTGTGTGTTCTTTAACTTCTAAGAGTGTACATAACATGTTGAAACTTGGATTGTCTAGTACTAGTGAATTAACGCTGTAAACACGGGTACCTAAATATAATCTGACAGTCCTTAATCTCATTTGTTACAGTAAGTTGTATCCTACTAATACACACATACTTATGGAGGTCAAGGTTAGGATTGGTCTTCAGTAACCCATGCTTATCATAAGTAGCAACTAATGGGATCGGGTGGTCAGATTCGCTGACTTGGTTGACACATGTCAACATATCCTGATTGCGTAGATTGATGCTCATGCAGTTGATCACTGGATTGTCTGGTGCAGACTCGATTATTTACAGACTGCCATCATATAGCTGGAATATTGCTGAGTGACAATCAAACAAACAAAACAAACTAATCCAGACCTTATTTCAGAATGGTGGAATATTATTGCACTGTGATAATTTCAGAAGGAAGACAAGTTGAGCGTGTGCCAGTCTGCTTGCCTTAGCTATAAACTTGGAAAGGATAAACCTGTTTCATAGTAAACTCATGAAGGTCATTTGTTCTCGTCGCTGGGGTAGGTAATGGAAAGGCATTGAATGACATGCATGATATTCAAATTTAACCATTCAGGAAGTTGTCACTGCTTATCTACAAAATCTCTGTTTTTACTGTTAGACAATATATAATAGATTGATAGTATCGACGTTTGCATTGTCAACTATGAGATACGAGTGCATCGATACAAAACACTATATATCAGGATATTTATATCGCAAGGGTCCATGATACATCGATGTATATTGCCACAAGAGACGATATATCCCGATACTACTTAACTACAACTTAAAGTTGCAAGGAGTATTGCATTAGGAATAGGATGGGAGTCTCTTTGAAATCCTTTGAATTAGAAACAAATTGAACCTTAAAGGAATTTGTTTGTGTCTGTTATCTTTGTTACATGAACAAAGGAGTCGGTGTATAAGTCAAAGAGTGTGAACATTTTACAAACTCTGTGACCTGTAGATAACTTGTCTTCAAGTAATGAAATATGCAGATATGTTTTAGTTGTTTGACAAATACCACCATTTATTAACAACTATGAACGATGTCTTAGCTTTGTTAAGAAGAGAACAAAGAGAAGATAAAGTTTACAAAGCAGACTTAAGAGTTTTTTCAGTGATTCTTAATTCTGATATAAATTACAGTGAGGTGTTTGTGAAAGCATTGGTGTAGAAACACAACTTCCCAAGGGAAACTTCAGTTTAAAATGTATATATATTAGATCAAGGTACCGGTATACTGAGTATGTTTGACTGTACTTTCTTAAGCATTAAATGCTGAAACTTTATTAGATGAACAGCTTTTTAAGTGTGTGTGAATGTAACACAAGTTCTGCTGTATAGCGAATAAAGTTTCAGTCATTTTATCTATCATATCTGTTCTGTTATTAGAAATTGTAAAGTATTAGATCAATTGTACCATTGTAGTATCGGTTCCTTGCCAATACTTTCATGATATATCGTATTAAACTGGTATCATATATCGTCATTGTAGGCCACGATGACAGCTCTAATATGATGTGACATCAGTTATATCAACCATATTGTGACCCACTTGAGATTTTAGCGATTGTTATAAATCCTGTTCAATATTGACAACATTATCATTTATGTGTCTAAAATGGTATCATGCATGTGAGGTATGAAATCGGGTTTTACGCCACTTGAGAATGTTTACACATATGGCTAATATGATGAGACATCAGTGTATCGCTGCGGCTGCTTGTATCAGCCAGACTTAAGCTGGTTTTATAGACTAGCCCACTGAGATACCATGCCGCATTGTTATGAATCCTGTTCAATACATTATACTGACTACATTATCAGTCCTGAACCATTAATGTGTCTCAAATGTTATTTTATTTTGCATGGAACCCACGACCTGATAACTCACGGATGCATGCATGTGATAACTCAGGGATCACTTTAGGCATATAGTAAACTTGCACTGGTGCAACCTGAAGCTGCTAAATGCAGCTTAATATTTTTACCGACTTGCACCCTGTATGCTAGTACTGTAAATCATGAATTTAATGCGAGCATATTATTAATGCGAAAAAAGAATCCGTAATCTTCTCGCATTATTATAATGACACATTTCAGTCTGACCATGTCTACTTTTGAGAACATATGACAGAAAACGTAAATCTGTTGACACTACACATTACACCAATACAGGTCACTTCCTCATTACAGGTATCTCAAGCCACATGTAATTATCACTGGTTACAATCACTGGTCATTGTTTAAAGTCACTCAAGCACATCAGCCAGACCGGACATTCTCCAGCCACGTGTTTGTTGTACCTGAGTGGTAGATGACTAGTCTTTCAAGTCGGATTACGTTTATACATGTTGTCATAAGACAAGTAGTAGCAAGCAATCACGTGATCAAACAAGGCAGCGTAATCAAAACATCGTCAGCTCATTTCCATTCATTGCTTAACAAGCTCAATTCAGGTTATTTGGTAAATAACAAGTGTGAAAAGAAAAAGAACAACACCAAAGATTCAGGGTGTCACATATTATCATCAACACAGATTCCTGAGCTCGCATTAATTTTGTGACGCATTTTAGACCAGACCCTGGCACTTGCATTAAATTCGTGACGCATTAATTTCATGATTTACAGTATTTTACTATATGTTGCGATGCGTTAGCCTAGTGGTTAAAGCGTTCACTCATTATGCCAAAGACCAGGTTCGATTCCCCACGTGGGTACAATGTGTGAACCCCATTTGTGTTGTCCCCCACTGTGATATTGCTGGAATATTGCTAAACGCGGCATAAAACTAAACTCACTCACTCACTGTGCAGCTGGAAAACAGACTGATGAGTAACTGACTTGGAGCAGTGCCTCAGATGACTGCAGTGACTGACTGACTGTTACCATGGTTACTGTCCATGTCATGGAATGTTTTGAAGCAAGATAAGGCCAGACCAATTTTATTTCTTGTTTTACGGATTTTTGTCCTCAGAAATCCTAAAGGCAGGAGGGGGAAAAAAAAAAAATCACCAGTGAAAGTAATAATCCTTTTGCATACTAAAAGTATTTTATTTTTGGCAAGTTATAAAGTGTATATGGGGCAAAAAACAATCAAAACAATTTTTTTTCGTAAGTTTGCATTTTTTGCCAATAAAAACATGACGATTTTATTTTTGAAGCGGGGAAAATTAAATTTTTTTATTATTATTCTTGAAAAAATACGACCTGCGGATCCGTAAAACAAGAAATAAAATTGGTCTGGCCTAAAATATCTTATCAGATCTTGAATAGTTTTGTTATAATGACATTCTGAATCATCAATACCAAAACACAAGCACTAAGCATAATGTTAGGTTGAGCAGCAAGATAAACCTGTTTTTGTCTGGTGCAACAAGGTAATCATCTAAGGTTGCACCTGGTGCAAGTCAGTTGTATTTCCTTAAATGAAGCCCGTAAATTGTCAGGGGTGTTCGGGCCATTGAGCCTTTAATGTCATGAGATATTTGTACCCCGGAAGGGAGAATATATAATGTGGCAGCTTTTATTAGTCTTCCCCATCTAGCAATTTTAATTGTAAACCAAAAGTCACTGTGTTATTTAATCTGATTGGTTGAAAAACGTGATCAAATGGTATTCGATTCCCGGAAATTCGCTGCGTATTAATACATACAAACATCGCTCACACCATTGTATTGTTACGTCGTCAGCTGTGATGACATCATTAAAATCATATTGTGACGTAAAGTCCGAATGACGTCACAAATGAGCAGTTCCAGATGCTACCATGGGAGACAGCCGAAACGGCCAGCTGATAACATTTCACTGCTGTCGATGTTAATGAGTGCAGACACAAAAAACGTGTGTAGACCTTTGGTTTACTTGTGTGTTTACAATGTCGATAAACATCATGTGTTGGCCAATTTCCTGGTGTTATTGAGTATTTGAAGCACGGGAATATTTCATTTGAAACCTCCGGCTGACGCCATCGGTTCCAAATGAATTCCCGTGCTTCAAATACTCAATAACACCCGGGAAATTGGCCAACACATGATGTTATCTCCTTAATAGCTTCGAAACATACTCAGGTCCGCTTTGGTTATCCATACTCATTGTACATGCTTCCTGGCACTTCTTGTTAGCAAGCACTTGTTTCTATAAACTGTCACTAGTTGACCATATAATGAACATATGTTTGATATTTGATTTTTGTTTCACAGGTACAAAACCAAGAGAGAGGCTATAAACAAGTAGGGCAAGGAACATACAAAGATGGGTATGTAGTCATGGTAACACGGTCTCCATGGTGACCACTAGTAGCACAACACACAGTTCATAATTTCATAATGGCGCGTTCAACCGCCTCGAGTCCATGGTGTAGTGGTTAGAGCGTCCGCCCGCAGAGCGGAAGGTCGCGGGTTCGATCCCCGACCGCGTAATACCAAAAGACGTTAAAATATGGTACTTGTTGGTCCCTGCCTGGCCCTCGGCATAAATGGGTACAACAAGGACTGGTCGGGTCGGAGTCAGTATAATTTGTCAGAGTGGGGTATTCATGCTTCACTGTGGCATGGTATCTCAGTGAGCTAGCACTATAAAACCAGTACAAGCAGCCGCACGTACACATACACACGCATTCACATCGTCATATGAGCGAAATATTCTCAAGCACGTCGTTAAACCCAATTTCACCTCACCTCACCTCATAATGGCGCGTTCAGTTTTCACAGCACTTGTGCACAATGTTCCTCTCAGTCTGATACTTTTCGTCTGAGATACTGCATCTCTAAACTATCTGTAGGACAAGTGAATGCGAGTCTGTATGACGAAAGTGTACAGTATATGAGCGTCCATTTTGCATCAAATCCAAAGGATGATAACATAAATTTGTGAGTTAGTTTATGGGTCCTGGACAAATGAAGCTGAGCTACTTTTGCAGTCATGAAAGTGTTTTGAAAATCCAGCTCTCAAGTTTACAGGTTTACATGATGTTTACTGATTTATTAAACAATAAATTGACGTGACATAATTGTTGTGATGTTTTAAGATTAATTGGATCATTAAAAGGTATGGGCACACTTGTTTTCACAAAGGCACGCCTAAATCATCTGTCTGGTGCTCTATGGCACTCTTTGCAAACGGGGGGCGGTGGGGTAGCCTCGTGGTTAAAGCGTTGGCTCGTCACGCCGAAGACCCAGGTTCGAATCCCCACATGGGTACAATGTGTGAAGCCCATTTCTGGTGTCCCCCGCCGTGATGTTGCTGGAATATTGCTAAAAGCGGCGTAAAACCAAACTCAGTCAGTCAGTCAGTCTATGCAAACGTTGCATTTCTATCACTGTATATATATGTGATGTATCGTATGTCCAAAAGTAATACACCACATTTGTGATATACATACACACTAACACAGTATTTATTGCATACATGTTATGTGATATGTGCATATATGTCATGTAACACTTCATGTCAAATAGTACTTACATGTCAAACCTACATGTGTTATATAGTACATATTTACCAGTATTTATCATATACTCATGTAAACTTAAGATAGCAAATACAGGGGTGCAATATGGATGACATTGTCAAATTCCGTATTGCACCCTAGATTCTGTATTGAACCCCTGCCAGTTACTACGCTATGATTTGTTTTTTTCCCAATGGCGCAGATCAATGCTCATGCTGTTGATCACTGGATTGTCTGGCCCAGACTTAATTAATTACAGACCGCCGCCATATAGCTGGAATATTGCTGAGTATGGCGTAAATCTAAACTCACTCACTCACCTAGATATGAGTGGATACATGTCTTATCACATATGCATATGTCATACCATGCATACATGTGTCATATAGTACATGCATATCATATAATTCATATGTGTCATGTAGTTGATACATGTGTTAATTATTGCTTGATTATATATATCATGTATATGATACAGATATTTGTCATAGTGGAAGAATTATCAATATATATAGCATGACATGTGCCATTGTATCTATGACACAATATTCCTGTCCACCCAATGATCCATCCATCAGTCCATTCATCCATCCATCCTTTGTACATGTGTGGTATTGCATGTATATATCATGTATATGATACAGATATATGTCATATATTGTATATATGTCACACAATACATATATAGCGACATAACCTTGTATCTATGACACAATATTCCTGTCCATCCAATGATCCATCCATCAGTCCATTCATCCATCCATCCTTTGTACATGTGTTTGTACATGTATTGCATGTATATATCATGTATATGATACAGATATATGTCATATACTTGTATATATGTCACACAATACATATATAGTTCAGGCATAACCTTGTATCTATGACACAATATTCCTGTCCATCCAATGATCCATCCATCAGTCCATTCATCCATCCATCCTTTGTACATGTGTGGTATTGCATGTATATATCATGTATATGATACATCCATCACTCAGTATATGTCATATATTGTATATATGTCACACAATACATATATATCCAATGATCCATCCATCACATAACCTTGTATCTATGTCACAATGTTCCTGTCCATCCAATGATCCATCCATCAGTCCATTCATCCATCCATCCTTTGTACATGTGTTTTCGTACATGTTCATTACTTGCTTCCACGCATTCTTTCTTGCATGTTCAGTTGGAAGACTCATTTGTGAACTAATCCATCTAGAACCCTAGATGCACAGTAAATTGTTCAACCCATCCTTCCATCACTCAGTCGTCAGCTGCTTATCCCATCCACCACTCAGTGGTCAACTGCTTATCCCATCCACCACTCAGTGGTCAACTGCTTATCCCATCCATCACTCAGTGGTCAACTGCTTATCCCATCCACCACTCAGTGGTCAACTGCTTATGCCATCCACCACTCAGTAGTCAACTGCTTATCCCATCCACCACTCAGTGGTCAACTGCTTATCCCATCCACCACTCAGTGGTCAGCTGCTTATCCCATCCATCACTCAGCGGTCAACTGCTTATCCCATCCATCACTCAGTGGTCAACTGCTTATCCCATCCACCACTCAGTGGTCAGCTGCTTCTCCCATCCACCACTCAGCAGCCAACTGTTCAGCTTATCCATCATTCAGTGGTCAACTTCTAATACCACCCAAACTCCATTCCATTCTCCAGTGCTTCTTTTATTGATAAACTGCCAGCACATCTATCAACCCATCCTGTTCATGCTTGTTCATTTTTTCCCCATCCATTTCGCCCATGGAGATTATAGGCCTTCATCACAACAGTCTTCCTTCCCTCAGACCCAAAGCCATGGGAGTCAGACTACAAATCACGATTAAGGCCCACTCAAAGGACAAGGCCAACATCCTCTGAAGAGTCTTCTACAACACCAAGGTGGGGTGCTGGATCAACAAGGTCAACAGGATCGTCCAACCAGGACCCTTCTTCCACACGAAGATGGGGTGCCTCACCCACATCCACCAAATCGGATGAACCCCCGAGACGCAGATTCGGCCCAGGCACTATGCCCACACAGTCAGAAGACTCTGCTTCAACTTCTAGATGGGGATCTAACACATCGTCAACTTCATCAACTCCATCTGAGGAGACCCCAAGACGTAGATGGGGGTCAGGATCAGCCAGGACTTCTGACACAACATCAGCAACATCAACAACACCTACCGAGGAGACCCCAAGACGTAGATGGGGGTCAGGATCAGCCAGGACTTCTGACACAACATCAGCAACATCAACAACACCTACCGAGGAGACCCCAAGACGTAAATGGGGGTCAGGATCAGTCAGGACTTCTGACACAACATCAGCAACATCAACAACACCTACCGAGGAGACCCCAAGACGCAGATGGGGGTCCTCACAATCATCAGCATCAACTGCAGAAGAACCTTCAACACCAAAGCAGGATACAGAATCTAAAAAAGCATCTGACTTCAAACCAAGGAAATACAGATCCTTATACGATCCATCTCCAGAACCCTCGCCAGAACCAGAACCAACTGAAGTGTCCTTGACATTGCCAAGCGGAGAGGCAGAACCAGTTGTAGAAGCTACAGAGGAGCCAGTTGAAGCGACCTTCACCTTGGAACCTGCTGTATCTACCCTGGCAACAACTTTCATTACTCCAGAACCAGAAGAGGCACCCAAACTTGCTAGTTAGTGTTGAGCGTTCAGCGATAATCATGGCATTATGACCTATGTACATTGTGTGTGTGCAGTGTCATGCTAATAATGCTTTCGCCAAGAGAACCCTTGTGTTTATTGTATCATGAATGCCAGATAGTGTATACCATGTCCTTAGCGTGTGATGAAGATGTGATGGATTATTATTTCTTAATAACATTTATTATTTTCAGAGAATATAGCATTGTGCTTGTTGTTATCAGTTATCCTTACCCAGCCAAACCATAACATATATTTTAGGAATACACTATTTTTTGGCATTCATAAATATTCCTGATATGCCAACATATTTAACAGTGCTCTCTTTAACCCAAAGTGGCAGCAGCCTTTGGGATTTCCTTACAATCCCAAAACAACCCAGTGCTCTCTCAGTGTATGACAGGTTTCTTTTGTTCAGTATTTAATTACAATGTAAAAGGACAATGTTCCATTGCTATGACAACCAAGGCTAAGACATCATTTCTTCCAAGCCATACCATCTTAGATGGGGTAGAATAGTGGTTAAAGTGTTCACTTGTTGAGCCGAAGACCCAGGTTTGATTCCCCAAATGGGTACAATGTGAAGCCGATTTATTTTTGTCCTCCACCCTGATATTGCTGAAAAATGCTAAAAGCGGTGTAAAACCATACACACTCTTGCTCACTAAGATTGATCATTTGCAGAGATGCCAACTCTCCCGAATTTATCGAAATCATCTCGAAACTTGCATGTGGATTCCGTCATTCCGACAAAATTCATTCTGATTTTGTTCAACAAAGATATGGATAAAGGGATAGGATCAACATTGACTATAAATAATGATAATTAAATAAATATAACACTTATTTACAAAAGTAATCCAAAGTTGAGTAAGCAGCCTGGTAAATTCCACACACTGTTTATGTTATTCACTTATCATTCACAAAAGTACTGCTGCGGTAAATTCCACGCACTGTACTGCAAACCAGTTTCAGTTGTATAGGATCGCTATGTGTAATGCCATTGAAAAGTTTCGTTCCTTGAGTGCAACAATTTATAGGAACCCCTAATTTGTTGCGAAAATTCCTATTTTTTTCCATCTTAGGGAGCTCAGATTCCTAATTGCACCAATTTTGGGTTGGCATCTCTGCATTTGTGGCACCAATGCACTTGCACTTAGGATATATCCTTTTATCATCATTAACAGGCTCGGACCACAAGTCGATTTCATAAACATTTACTACTTGGAAATATCAAAATCTTACAAAGTTTGGGACTCACTCTACTGGGATCAACTGTCTATCAAAGAAATGGTAGTTGATGACGACCAACTTCCGGTTGAGCATAGACAGGGCTTACACCCTGTGATTTAGTCTCAGTGATGATAATACTTGAAAACTTGTCTCTTTGAATTGCCTTTAAATGTTGCAAGAGGTCCAAAGAATCTCCTCTCTTTTAGAAAGCCAAATTATTATACCACAATGTATTATGTATAGAAGTCCAACTCAGATCTCAGACTTTCGCCACCTGTAGCTCAAGTCTTGCACAAATTCTGTCACAAGTTCAAGTTGGAGAAGCACAGGTATTTCAGACAGATTCAATATAAGTATGGTGGCATCGATTAGTCAGCTTTAATCATGTAACTTATCTTGAACAGATGTGAACATGACATGGTCGGTCCTGTATGAACAATATTTAACTTTGTTGGTTTATAGTTTTATCTAATCCTGTCATTACCCTACTGATTCTTTCTTATTTTATTTTGTAGCCTGGTGTGTGGTTTTTTTTACTTTTATTTATTATATTTTGTAATAGGCATACAATAGTGTTTCAAACAGTGTTCAGATTTGTATAAAGTGTCCAGCCTTCAACTTTAATCAATAAAATAGTAATATCTCGCAGCAGAGCATGGATTTCCCTGTCTAAGACTCTAGAGTTGTGTCCCTGTGGCCTTCTAAGAGCTTTCTAATTCTGTCAGCATTATGCACCAAGATTGATGCTCATGCTGTTGATCACTGGATTTTCTGGTCATGATTCGATTATTTAAAGACTGCTGCCATATAGATTGAATATTGCTGAGTGTGGCGTAAAAACAAAACCAAAACAAAACAAAACCAAGTCATGGTTTTCAGTAGTGGTGAACATGTAAAACCTGAATCAGTTTTGCGTTCTTTCACGTCAGTTGACACGCTGTGACATAACTGGAGTACTGTTCAAGACAGGAACCCAACTCACTGATAATTAGATTCCGAAAAAACGTAACAACCTGTACCTGCATGTTGTACTCACTGTGTTATTTTTTTTAATGGTGAATTTTAAATTTGTTTTAGACACGATATGGCTGAAATATTGCTGATGTGACTGTAAATCTTAACTCACTCACTCTCTGTTTTTGTAGTTCAAAATTGTTTGGTTAACTAAACAATTAAAGTAGGTTCGAACTCTCCTGGTACTTATCTGTCGTTACAGTGAATATTTTGATGTTTTTTCAATTACATACTGTTCAGGAAGACAGACACTGTGTTGTGATCAAGAGCTTCTGACTAAACGGCAGTGTATCTATATTATCAGTTGTTCCACAGATGTCTGTCCTGTGATCAGAGTCCAGCTGATTATTGTGCTATATTTAATTATATTGTTATAGTATTTGACATAATCAGCTTACATCACTAACATAATTCAGAGTCATTAATACAGCTTGAATGATCATAAGTGTTGATCAGTTGTATCTCCAGTAGAACATACTTAACCAAAAGACCGAAACATACATCATAGGAAATATGGCCCTCATGGCATCACATGGATATGAACTTTTGTTTCATGACAACCAAAAATTCTAGCAACCAAATAACCCAGTCAGCGTGCAACATTCTGTATTGCATCATTATTCTGTGATCAATATACATACAATTTTGACATTTTCCATCATGAAATGAATGAATAATAATCACTTATATAAGCCCAAACATATTTAGTTGTGATAATTCCGGTGACGTTATACTTTGAATCTTGCATTATGATATTCCCAAATTCCATTAACTCTTTATTTTTTTATTAATTCTAACTTCTACTTGGTTGTCATCCATATATATGTTTGGTTGAAAATGCTGTGTATTTATATATCCGAATGATTTTACTGAACTTTCTTGGAGTATGCAATATTATATGAAAAAAGAACTGATAAAAACTCTTTATTTTGCTCTCTAAGTTGGCTTTTTGCCTACTAAGCAAACAAAGTCAGATGGGAAGTACGTTAAATGTACAAAAAAGTATAAAACTAAAAAGGTTTAATTAACTTTGAATGTTAACTTTTAGTTTAATTAACAATGTAACTCTTTCCACTGTCATAATGCTAGTTATTTCTATTTATCTGTCAAGCAGAATCAACATTTTCAGCATAAAATAATAATTTCTTTGTGTAGATGACTTGACAATGCTTAATTCATAGCTGTAATTTATGCCATCACCTGACTGATTATTATTACAGAGTCAAATGACGAAGCATCAAAGGCGGCTGAATCAAAACCAGAGCAAGTACCAGAGCAAGTACCAGAACCGGAACCGGAACCAGCACCAGCTCCAGTTCAAGCACCGAAACCAGAACCTGTGGTGGCACCTGTGTCGCCACCTGTGTCGGATCCTGTGCCCAAGCCTGTGCAAGAACCCAAGCCAAAACCTGCACCAGAACCGAAGCCAAAGCCTGTGCCAGAATCCAAGCCGAAGTCGGTGCCAGAATCCAAGCCGAAGTCGGTGCCAGAACCTAAACCCAAATCTGTACCAGATTTTAAGCCAAAGTCTGTGCCAGAATCAAAGTTTAAGCCGGTATCAGATCCAAAGCCGAAGTCTGTTGCTGATCCCAAACCTAAGCCTCCTGTGAAGGCTGTGGCAGATCCTGTGCCACAGACCGTGCCACAGGCAGAGAAAGAGGAGCCCCCAGTCAGTGAGTATCTGTTCCTTTATATTCCCTGCATGGTAGCGAATATAGCAGAGCATTAGTCATGCCAGTCACATGACTTGTGGACATCCAGTTTGTAGGGATGCCACGATATATCGATACATCAATGCCTCGATACTTTTTCTAAGATGATACAATTATCGATACATTCAAAACTGTATTGATATTTAGTTTTGAAAGTATCGGTTTAAATATGTTTATGTATCGTTTACATTTTTCAATTGTATCATGTTTTTTATATCATGAGTTATAAATGATTATTTTTTTATGCACAAAGATGGAAAATTAGAACTTTTTAATCTCTGAGAATAAAAAATGTTGATCTTTTCATATAAAATATGAAATGTTAATGTTCAAAATGTAGCTAAATTTACGCAATAATGCCGCAAAAATAGGTATCATGATACGAATCGAATCATGACATGGGTATCGTGATACGTATCGATTCTTGAAACATCCCTACCAGTTTGGTGCCCAGGTCCACAGTGCTTGGTGCACACTTCTAGCAGGCTGGTGTATAAAATAGCGGTATGATTTGGCTGAGGTGATGTTGCTGTGACATTCCAGTGGTATGTCTGTGTGATATCACTGCCTCCGTGGTGTAGTGGTTAGAGCGTCCGCCCAGAGAGCGGAAGGTCGCGGGTTCGATCCCCGACCCCCGCGTCATACCAAAAGACATTAAAGTATAGTACTTGTTAGTCCCTGCCTGACGCTTGGGATTAATGGGTACAACAAGGACTGGTCGGTTCGGGAGTCAGTATAATGTGTCTGAGTGGGGTATTCATGCTTCACTGCGGCATGGTATCTCAGTGGGCTAGCACTATAAAACCAGCTTTAGTCTGGGGTAGAACCAGCAGCTGCACATACACATACACACGCTTGCATGTCGTCATATGAGCGAAATAGTCGCAAGCACGACCCTAAACCCAATTTCACCTCACCTCACCTGTGTGATATCGCTGTTATGTATATGTGATACTACAGTGACATACCTGTGGTATGCAAGTGTAATATGGCTGTTATATATCTGCGATAATGCTGTTTTATGTCATACGTCATGTCATGTGTTTTATGTCATATTGCAATGATATACCTGTGGTATAGCCGCATGATATTCCTGTGGGATGTCTGTGTGATATAGTTGTTATGACCTGTGATCTGCAGTGATATACCTATGGTATGCAAGTGTGATATAAAAGTTATATCTGTTATACTGCAATGATATACCTGTGGTAGAGCTGTGTGATGCGTCCATCACGTGATATTATCATGGCTGGTTACATCACACAATATGCCCCACCTCTTCACACCATATGGCCGGAGAGCGGAAGGTCGCGGGTTCGATCCCCAACCGCGTCATACCAAAAGACGTTAAAATATGGTACTTGTTGGTCCCTGCCTGGCGCTCGGCATTAATGGATACAACAAGGACTGGTCGGCTCGGAGTCAGTATAATGTGTCTGAGTGGGGTATTCATGCTTCACTGCAGCATGGTATCTTAGTGGGCTAGCACTATAAAACCAACTTAAGTCTGGGCTAGTACAAGCAGCCGCACATACACATACACACGCATGCACGTCGTCATATGAGCGAAATATTCTCAAGTACGACGTTAAACCCAATTCCACCTCACCTCACCTCACACCATATCCCTACTCTGTAGATCCGGAGGTGATTCGGTCCTGGGAGTCTGATGCCAACAAGGGCTCTGAGGAACATCAGCTGAAGCTAGGGAAACACTTCCTGTCTCTGGCCGACTCCGACATAGAGAGGGACCGCAATGCAGGCCTGGCTCTTGACTGGCTGATTCGAGCCTCCAAACAGGGTAGTGAGGAGGCAACAGAGTTGCTGCAGAGCTGCGTCAACAGGGATCTACCTGGTAGGTTTTAGATCCCTACTATATGAAAACAATAAACATGATTAAAAAATGGAAAGTGGAAAAATTTATCTAAAATTTTTTTTAACATTTTGAGGGCTTTTTGTTGTAGTTAGTACCCAGATATGACCATGATACCATTTACTTCCAGTCTTGCAGAACAACTTTAGGCTGTACACAGTTGGGACTGAGCATGGGTGTCAGCTAAATATAGATCAGAATATTCTGAGAATAAATGACCTTGGCAAAGTTGTTAGCATTTTATATACAAGATCAGCGATATTGAAACTGCTTTATGTGTAGGCACAAAATGACTTGGTAGCTATAGAATATGAACGAGAAAGAAGTCATAGAAAGAAAATAACTTGCAGTGTCAGTTATATGATTTTTTATAGTTTTTATTTTGAACAATACAAACAAATAACAGTGATATTCTTGCAGATGAAAAATCAAATAGTTTTAGCAGAATAAATCATGACATGATTACCAAAATGTTTAGAAAGCATTTTGTTCTTATTGCTTCACTTTGTTAACATATAATATTCAAACAGTTTTGTTGAAAAACTTGAAAAAATGGCATTATCATAAGCTGAGTTATACAAAGGACATTTTTCAGAAAGTTTTCTGGCGATACTTATTATAGCTGAGTATACAAAGGACATTTTTTTGAAAGTCTAAGGCCACACAAACATGTGTCAGTGTGGATAGGACCTGAAACCTAGAAACCATCACGTGATATCTGATGGCTACAGTCCGTTTGAGTCAGAAACGGACCGATGAATTGCAAATTTTATCATTGTACAAAATTGCCACATAATTGCCACATAAATATAAATAGTACACATGTTTATCATTTACCCAACAGCTTTCTTATATTTGAAAATTTTCCGGACTCCACCAAAAAGGTTCTTTAAGAAACTATCATTAAAATTTTGACACAGTTCACTATTTGTTACGAGGGAGGAGTGCAGAGGAAGGGACAGCCGGGTGTGCGAGAAAGGATGGAGACGGCACAGCACAGGCTAATGAATCAATAACTTGGTGGGCACTTGTGCACGTGCTTCTCTAACACCTGGCTGTCCCTTTCTCTGCACTCCTCCCTCGTAACAAATAGTGAACTGTGTCAAAATTTTAATGATAGTTTCTTAAAGAACTTTTTTGGTGGAGTCCGGAAAATTTTCAAATATAAGAAAGCTGTTGGGTAAATGATAAACATGTGTACTATTTATATTTATGTGGCAATTATGTACAATGATAAAATTTGCAATTCATCGATCCGTTTCTGACTCAAACGGACTGTAGTTCTCTAATCCTTTAAGGGCGGTGGTGTAGCCTAGTGGTTAAAGCGTTTGCTCATCATGCCGAAGACCCGGGTTCGATTCCCCACATGAGTACAATGTGTGAAGCCCATTTCTGGTGTCCCCGCTGTGATATTGCTTGAATATTGCTAAAAGCCTCATAATACCAAACTCACTCACTCACTCACTTTGATCCTTTAAATTGTTATAAATTTGCTGAGGACATTTGTGGTACTGCAGGCGTCAACGAAAGGGATGCCAGTGACCTCACCTGGTGCCTCAAGACGTCATCATATGAGAAGAAGATCCGGCATGCGGCTCGCAGCTTGTTCCAGAAGATCAACACAACACACAAGGAAGCTATCTCGAAGGATGAGTACATGGAGGCCATTAAAGGGGTCACAGGGAAGGTGACGGAACAGCGACTGCTGATGGCTGCAGGTAGGGGACGGTCACACAGTTAGCAGTCCGTTAACTACCACCACATGGTAACACAGTTATCAGTTGGTGAACTATGACCACACGGTCCACACACTAGGAATTAGGGGAGAGAATCAGTTGGCCAATATCTCTTTGAACTCAAGTGTTTATAGTCGTGTCCAGTATCAGTTTAAACTCAAATATATAGTCTTGGCCAATATCTGTTTAAACTCAAGTGTATATTGTCTCGGCCAATATCTGTTTAAACTCAAATGTATATAGTCTTGGCCAGTATCAGCTTTAACTCAAGTGTATATAGTCTTGGCCAATATCTGTTTAAACTCAAGTGTATATAGTCTTGGCCAATATCTGTTTAAACTCAAGTGTATATAGTCTTGGCCAGTATCAGCTTTAACTCAAGTGTATATAGTCTTGGCCAATATCAGCTTTAACTCAAGTGTATATAGTCTTGGCCAGTATCAGCTTTAACTCAAGTGTATATAGTCTTGGCCAATATCTGTTTAAACTCAAGTGTATATAGTCTTGGCCAGTATCAGCTTTAACTCAAGTGTGTATAGTCTTGGCCAGTATCAGCTTTAACTCATGTATTCAAAATCTTGGACAATATTAGCTTAAACTCATCTATTTATTTTCTCGGCCTGTATAGCTTATCTGCTTAACCACTGTCATAAACCATTCAGTTTTACCACTTGAATTATTTTCATTTCACTTATATTGACTTTATTCCAAAATCTCTTCACCACACAGGTAGGAAAATCGGCAAAGAAATATCTGAGAATGAATTTGTGAAGATGCTTTCGAAGAAAATTCAGGGGACTGTGACCTTGACCACAGAGGAGCTAGCTGATACCAACGTGTCATACGAATCGGCCGGATATTTAACGAAGGTAAATCAATATGTTGATATGACACATGTTGTATTTGGAATTGAACGTTTTCAGCGAAGTAAAATTTCTAATATTTTGCAGGGAGTATGGGAGGGATTCAGTCCCATTCAGATTCAAACCCACCCTCTCAGAATGAGGTACACAATCACCAGCACACAAAGTCAGTGATCTAACCCATTTCTTAATATCTGAGGCAGTGGGGTAGCCTAATGGTTAAAGCGTCCACTCGTCATGCTGAAGACCTGGGTTCAATTCCTCATATGGGCAAAATGTGTGAAGCCCATTTCTTGGGTCCCCTGCCGTGATATAGCTGGAATATTGCTAAAAGCGGCGTAAAACTATAATCACTCACTCACTCACTCACTCACTCACTCACTCACTCACTCACTCACTCACTCACTCAATCACTCAATCACTCAATCACTCAATCACTCAATCACTCACTCAATCACTCAATCACTCACAGGCACGGTGGGAATCCGTCACATGAGATAGGATAAGTATATAATTATACAATTTATATTAAAATTTCCAAGTTTTATAACTTATCCTATCTCATGATTTATATAGAGCTTAAACGTTTCTACTATATCGTTTTAAATACTTAGACCATAGCTTGCACTATATCATTATGGGCATATTCTTTATCCCACGGTTGGACATCGGGTCGCAGATTATCCTTAGTCAAAAGGCACTGACAGTATATACTTTATAGGCTAATGACTAGGGCTGTGCAATATAACCGGTTTACCGGTATTTATTGGTTCAGAGATGAAAACGGTACATATTGCAAAACACTGATCGAAAACCAGTATTTTGACTTTCATTCGGAAAACTTCGTAACACTCGGAAATCTTCGGATATTTCCTTGTTTCATATGTGCCAAATATTATTTACATTTTTATTTTGTCATGATTAAAAGTTTTTATCAAAGCTTAATCAAGCATACTGATTTTGTTGTGTTCATGCTTTATAAATCAATCATTAACTCGATTATACGTAGTTTTTTGTTTAAAAATACTTCTTGCAATACATATCGCAATAAATGCTTTTGCATCGCAATATATCGCAATATGAAAATTCTCTGCAATACCCACCCCTACTAGATAGCAATGAACAAGGGAGACCGGATCTGACTAGCATAGTACTTATACTAGTGATGGGTTCTCCTGAACCCCTTGGCTTACTAGGCACCATCGCTCCCAAGGAGTGGGTGCTCCCAAGCAATGTGGTGTTCGGCACAGGATCCGACTAGCATAGTACCTATACTAGTGATGGGTTCTCCTGAACCCCTTGGCTTACTAGGCATCATCGCTCTTAAGGAGTGGGTGCTCCTGAGCGATGTAGCAAGAGAGAGAAGTGCAAATTGTGAGACAGGATAAGTATATAAATATACAATTTATACTTAAAATTTCCAATTCTTATTGTAACAAATAAACCTGTTTTAGCTGAAAAGAAGCCCCAGAAGATGGGAAATTCAGAAACTGAGGGAATCTAGACTTGCTTCATTTAAGGCTTCAGCTTTGCAGGAATGGCAAGGCAGTAGGGAAAATAATGTGGTTCAGGGACTGTCAGACAGACCCTGTGGATGCTGAGGAGCAGCAGCGAGTCAAGGTTCCTATTGATAGTGGCTGCATGTGTGTGCCCATTATTGAACACAAACAATAAATAGATGATTCTGAGTCACCAGAACTATGACAGTTTGATTGCATGCTTGTGAAGTGATCCTATTTACCTTGGCAGCAGATGGAATTCACAGATACTTTATTAAAAAAATGGCTGCATCATCTCATGCAAACAGATGTTGTCATGTGTTGTTGTTTTAGTACACTTATGTAAGTGGCATATTAGATCATTTTTCACTTAATCTTAGTGTGTGACATGGTCATTTGTAAAATCTTAATGTAAATAAAAAATTATTCTTTTCAACACTTTAGTATCATACATGGTCAATTTTACTACCTTGTGCAAAACATTATCCATTTTAATACTTTAGTGCCATACATGGTCATTTTTACCATCTTAGTGTAAAGCATTATTCTTTTCAATACATGTCAGGGGTGGAAATAACTTTAAAATTGCTAGTGTACTCCGGTACAGTGGCACATGTAAAATTACTTGCCCTGATAATTTTTCCACTATACCGGCCGTTTTCTTGTTGATTTTTTAAATGAACAACATAATTAATATTGGAAAGTCAACTTGACACCGATACAGTGTGATATAAAAATTTGCTTGCCCGACAGAAAAAAACACTGGACTCGTCGGGCAATGGGTTATTTCCACCCCTGCATGTGCAAAACATTGTTTGTTTTAAAACTTTAGTGCCATATGTGGTCACTGTTACCAGCTTAGCGTAAAGCATTATCCATATTAACACTTTAGAGTCATACATGGTTATGCTGAACATCTTAGTGCAAAACATTATTTTTTTCAACCCCCTAGTGCCATACATTGTAATGTAGCATTGTGATGAGAGGTATACAGGGTTTTATGCGTCCCGTGTTAGGTTTTATCCACCGAGCCGGATACTGTAACGAGGGATACATAAATCCTTGTATACCCCAAATCACAATGCTACAACAAATTTATCTTACCGAATGTTTAAATCTCCCATTATGGAAATATAGCATTAAAACAAACAGAAATTCAATCATATATATCATAACATGGTACTGACTAGTCGATCCAAACCGCTGGTTCACGGTTCACTGACTGCTGTGGATGCATCCTTTTTCCATGGAGTGAGGTATAAATGATTTATTCTCTCCCCACTTGGGCAGTTTACGGCCGTGAACCGGGCATACATGGTAATTTATTCAAGGTCACATGAACCAATCAGAGATGGACATTGTTACATGAGGTAGGATAAGGGCAGTTTTACCATGTTTGTGTAAAGCTTTATCCATGTTAACACTTTAGAGTCATACATGGTAATGTTTAAAATATTAGTGCGAAACATTATTCTTTTCAACCCCTTGGTGCCATACATGGACATTTTTAACATCTGACTGTGGCACCTTTGTGGCATGTATGGTTGTTTATCCATGAAGTCTTAATTGTTGTAGCCTTGATCAAACAGTGTCACAGTCTTTGCAATCTTCTGTGCTCGTCACATCGAAGGTCTGGGTTCGATACCCCACATTGGTACAATGTGTGAAGCCCATTTCTGGTGTTCCCCTCCGTGATATTGCTGGAATATTGCTAAAAGCAGCATAAAATCCAAATCACTCACTCACTCACTCACTCACTCACTCACTCACTCACTCACTCACTCACTCACTCACTCACTCACTCACTCACTCACTCACTCACTCACTCACTCACTCATTCACTCACTGTCTTTGCAATCTCCATAGAAACAGCATGTGCGAAAGTCAGTCAAAACTTATGGAATGAAAGTAAAAACATGAAAAGGAGCTTCCTATAAATATATGATTGTTTGTGTTGCAGGTGTACCGCTACCCGCGACAGACCTTTGGTACCGTGTTGGACCAGGCCCTGGAATACTCCTCCCAGGAGGGACTCAACTGGGTTGTGTCACTCATCCCCACCAATCAGCTGTACGTCCTCGGCCTGCTCTTCGTCTACAGCTTCATCACTCCCGACTTCATGTTCTTCTTCATCCCTCTCTTCATCTTCTACCTCTCCTTTGCTGCCATTATCGTTTGCACTTTGCAGATGTTCTACAAGAGGAAGAAGCAGAACGATGCTGCAACTCTCGCTGGTGTTCTCAAAGACCTGGACGTGACCATCGATCTGGACAAAACAGAATCACAATTCACCTGGAACACCCTCACTCCTTACATTGTCTTCTTTTGCAATTTGCCCCTCGTTATTGCGAGCTTCTCGCTTTGCAATAAATCCTATGTGCCTTGTGCTGAGATTTCAGTCATTTCTCTTGTCATGACTGGATTATGTTTCTTCAGCCTTAGCGACCACCATGACAAGCTGACCTTCTTTGCGCTGTTCGCCAACCTGCTATCCTCACTTCCCATCTTCCTAAACAACTTCCCGTCGGTACCGCTACTTAAAGAGATCATCGGCTTCCTCACGGATCCATTCATCTCTCTGGACACTGGCGTGGGTATTTCTTTCAATGTCAGTATTCCCTCAATAGCATATGCAATAATTCCCTTGTTCTTTGTCCGAATGGCCACCCGGAAGTCATGGCAAGGCACGTACCGAGTCCTCATCCCCCATCTTGTCTGCTATTTCTGGTTCAACATCCTCACCTCCACTTTCCCTTTCACATCCTGGGTGGGTCTGGCTCGGGCCACCATTGGATACATGCTTCTTCCCGTGCTGGTCCCGCTCAGCCTGGTTGGCGTAGCTGCGATGTCCGCCTTTGCTGTCTACAAAGCCTTCCAGACAGAGATGCTCGGAAAGATCATTGTGACTGTTGTCCTTCTTGCAGTACCGATTCTCATGACCCAAACCAAGAAAATTTTCGGGAAAAACTTCGACGCCAAGTTTGGAATTGCCAAAAAGGTTGTCATGATTGTTTTCGCCATTCTTGCTTTGTTGCCACTGATTTTCGTCAAAATTCCTGCATGGAAGAAAGAGGTTCCTGTCGAACTGTCATACGATAATTACACTTCGTTATGTTTCCGAGAAAAAGTTGTAAACGATGTCCCGCAGCAAATAACATGCAGCCATCTCACTGGCACAAAAATTAGATGGACCGGAACCGTTGAAGGAGTGACTGTTGTAAAAATTGAGAATACAGCTGAAAGCGTTATTCGAAGTCTTCCCTCTCTCGTAGCCAAGCCATTATATTGCATGTATGGCCAGCCGTTCCCACAGTGTGACCGGAAGCTTCTTAGTAAAAAGGGTTACAATTTCTGCATTATTATGCGTGGGCTTGGACATACGTGCCATGTTAAGAACCACAATGTGTATACTTTCGAAATACTCATGCTTACTGGAAGTCAGAATATCAAAATAGAAGCTGGCGATAACTTCAAGGAAACTGTACTTGCGCTGGAGATCGGAGACGTGGTGGAATATAGAGGGGTTCTTGGGGATAACCTTGGTGGAACTATCCCCAAATTAAAACTGTCTTCTTTGAAAGCAACCAATCGCACGCTGCCGATCATGACATGTTGACGAGGATGACGACAAGTACATGTCAGCTGTTCAGGAAGCAATAGCCGTCACATTCAACTTCCTCTGGTTTCCGCTGCTGGAGTTTTCTGTCAAGTAACCATGGCAACATGATATTTAATGGATGGATTGGATATGAACATTTTCTTTATGAGCTTCGAAGTGATTGTTTCATTTTGATAAATACTTCTTTATGGACAGATAATCTTGTATGCTAGGGCTGTCTACAGAATTTGTTTGAATTGTTCATGTAATGTCGTGCATGCATAAATTTTATGGTGCTTATGTGTATGTTTGCATATATAATTAGGGAGCGGAAAAAAATTCTATTTGCTGTCTTGGGTGATTTGACAATGTTTTTGGTGTGGATGATATCAAAGTAACCATAAAAAAGTATTACAAAAATATTGATCTATGGGTAAGGATTTTTATCATTTCCACAAGCATTGCAGATTATAAAAAGTATAAAATTTGCATTGAAATTCATCAAGGATATAGTTTTTACTTACAATGTTCAAAATCCCTGTACCTTTGCTTTTGAGAAGATGTGTATTTGTGCAAAATATGCAAAAGATATCACCATTATGCTGTTAAATTGTGGATGCTTGCAAAATTATGCTTTTGAAAAATGTCAAAACAGCAACACAATGCATAATGACCCAACAATGGATTTTCTGTAAGCCCTTACAGATTTTGATTCACTGATCAAATGTAGGCATTGTCTATCAATGAACTGACTGAAGTGATGCGCAAAAGTGTGTCATCGTGTCTATTGTAGTTCTAACATGTATATCACTGTTTATGAGACATTTAGGTCCTGCACAATGGCATATACAATTTATTTGTTGCTGAAAAAGAATTTCCAGAAACGTTTTAAACTAGTTTACTTGTTGGTTTGAAGATACACTATAGTTGGACCTATTGCTGTAAAAATATATGATCAACAACCTGTTGACTCACACGGCGAGTGGGTTAGACAGTCTGAATGTCAGGATTCTGATGTACTACTTTAGATAACATGTCATGAATTTGAGCCCTTGTAATGATAGACAACTTGGTCTGGAAATTAGAATTTTTAATTTTTATACAAAAATATAACTGAAACTTTCAAATCAAGGAATGTTTATGAAAAATTCGGGAAAGAAAATTGTACATCCTCACCAATCAGGTGTTTCCCATGCAGGTGCTTCCAGTGTGTTTCTTGAATCAAGGCCTGAGCCCTGTTCCTCAAAGCGATCGTAGCGCTACGACTGTCGTAAGTCTATTAAAGAGTCATCAGCAAGTTCGGTTATATTTTCATATCCTTCTCAAAATGTACAAAATAAGCAATATTTTTTATGTAAAAATACAAAATTAGTTGCTAGCATAATATTTGAAGAGACGTTATCAGTTATTATTTTTTGTGTTGTGTGACTATTCCAAACATTCTGAGAACGATCTAAAAGCTCAAACCTATTCTCACCGGACACATTGGTGTTCAACAGCAATCAAAAATCGGTGATTATATTATAAAATTTTGTTTTACTTTTGTTCTTGTTCAGTGTTAAACTTTTGTACACTTTGTCAGGTGGATGGCAAAAAAAATTTCAGTAACTGAAATGCAATCAAATATTTCACTTGTTCTTTGTTATGGAATTTTAACACTATTTCCTTGCATGCTGTTAATTCCGTGATTCTTTAGTGTATATTTTGATCTGATTTGTAATCATTTGCTTTAAAAAATCTTAATATATTGTCAAAGACACAGAGCAATACTTCCTGTATAGCTGTTGAACTTGTTTTTATATTATAGTTTCAATACAGGGAACACATGTTACTGAATATCAAAGATCGACAGTACTGATCAAATATATATATGTGCAGTTGGCTTGTATATCTGATCTCTTGTTCCATGGCTGACATTAGTTACCTATCACTAAATTCTGTGTGCCCCCTGTGATACTTTTGTTCTATTACATATCCTTGTACTCAATATATCAGTTTTATAGTTTATTATTTAATATTTCAGATTATCAATTATTTATATATTGGGATTGTGTCTTTTTTACATCTATGGTTTAAAATATATGCTCTGATGCTCAGGTGGAACTACCTGCAGATTGCAGGGTTGTGTTAACTTCCATGTTATTCTGATTAGAACAATGTCTTGTTGCATTTGGATCTTGGTCAGAACAAGACACAGTACAATGAAACGCACATGAAAAATGTTTTCAAATGAAAGTTTTTGAAATAACAGATCAAACAGAATTCAGGAGCGTAGCTTCCTTTATATAAAAAAAAAAGCCCAGGGTTACACGTGATTTTGAAAATGAAAGTTGGGCAAGACCTCGATGCTATGTAAATATAAGCTCTGCAATATGAACTGATAAGTTAAGGAAGTTTTTGAGTGAGTTAGATCTTAATCACAAGACTGATCAGGATACTATGGGTTTAAATACACCCTGTATATCGAAGAGGTAGTTATAGTGCTTGCCAATGTATATTACTTTATAACAATTGACTGTGTGAAATGGTTGCCCTATTACCTAACACATGCCTTGTTTGTTGACTCCCTTGAAGCAAATGTGTTTAGTTTCTTGCCATGAGATTATTACAGAATTAGCATTACGTTATGAAAACAGGGTTTATGAGTGTGGATGATACATGGTGTAATGTTTGAACTTTGTTGCCTGTGCTGCTTAAACAAATGTATAAATTGCTTATAATTTTTATAGAGAGTGAGCAATACTTAACATCACGTCAGCATTATTTCAAAGTCAGAGGGTACAAATTACGGAGTATCAACATTTCAAACAAGCCTCTTAAGAGTATAAGGATCAACTTAGATAATTTCAGCTACCTTCAAACTTTTGGATTGAGTACAAACATTTTAATGTTTTTCTCTAAATGTAGCACATCAGTCCTGACGATCCTCAGAAACAAATTCTGTCTGGTGTAAAGGGAAAATAGCAGTGGAAATTATATGAGTGGAAAGTCTGTGATGACACCAGGTGTTTGTGAAAAAAAGTTTAAAAAATTGATTCTGTAGTTATACAAGTTAAACACAGTACATTATTACCTAGTTCTTTCATTTGACTGTTGTTACTCTGTCATAGAGAGATGTAAAATCAAAATATATTCTTTTGTTGAATGTAACATATAAGTTGATCATGTGTATATTCGTCTGTTTCACGACTTGCCGTTATGCATATATTACATGAATGTAAGGCGAGCTGTGCTGATGGGGGCTGGTGGGGTAGCCTAGAGTTCGATTCCCCACATGGGTACAATGTGCTAAGCCCATTTCTGGTGTACCCTGTCATGATTTTGCTGGAATATTGCTAAAAGCGGCGTAAAACTAAACTCACTCACGCTGTGCTGATAGGGCCGCTGTTGACCCAGCCAGCTAAAGTACTGCAGTTAGCTGTCAAGAGTTGCCTCCCTTGGAGGTGTCAGTAACACACAGTCAATCTAATCGTGGTTCCCCGATATGTTTTTGAGTTTGAGATAAAAATGTGAGACCAGCATCCCTTTGGGTTTTCCTCCAATATTGGGGGCGGTGGGGAAGCCTAGTGGTTTTTAAGCGTTCGCTCGTTACGCCGAAGGCCCAGATTAGACTCCCTACATGGGTACAATGTGTGAAGCCCATTTCTGGTGTCACCTGTCGTGATATTGCTAGAATATTGCTGCAGTCTGCGTAAAACTCATGCACTCACTCACACACTCACTCACTCACTCTCTCATTGTGTTGGGGTGGTTGGGTAGCCTAGTTATCAAAGCGTTCGCTCATCAGTCGGAAGACTTGGGTTTAATTCCTCACATGGGTACATTGTGTGTGAAGCCCATTTCCGGTGTTCCTTACCGTGATATTGCTGGAATATTGCTAACAGCAGTGTAGAACTATACTCACTCACCATCTCTCACTTACTCACTCACTCACTCACTCACATTGTACTGATGTTTGTACACAGATACAGCAGTGCTTTGACCACGCCAGGCCATGACAGAATGTTCTAGTTGAAATTAAATTATTTGCGGCTTTTATATCATTAAGTTAAAATGACAAATTGTTCATTAATAAAGAATCAGAGATTCACTTGTTCAGTAGTTGTTTTGAGTAGGTAGTTCTGATCACAAGGTCCAGGATGAGGTGGAATGGGTTTTTGAGACTCTTTAGCATCTGTATTCAAGTAGTCATATTAATTTCATGTTCCAGAGTTGAAAGAATTTATTAAGTCTGTATTTGTTGAGGTGTGATAAATGCGTCGGGAGTGGTGGATGTTATAGCTGTTAATTAGCCTCCTGACGAGTATACTTATCAAATATGTACATGTGCATCTACTTAGATTGTGTGCCTACACTGCTTTGCAGTATGTAGCTATAACAGAAAGATGTGGCTTCCAATAAAGGGATTAGACTGAAACTGACACTGGTTCCTGGATTTGTCTTCATTGTGGAGTAGGGTAACCTTGTGGTTAAAGCGTTCGCTCGTAACACTGAAGACCTGGGTTCGATTCCCCACATGGGTACAATGTGTGAAGCCCATTTCTGGTGTCCCACCGTGATATTGTTGGAATATTGCTAAATATTGGCGTAAATAAACTAACTCACTCACTCACTCACTCACTCATTGTGGAGAGACCGTGAAGATCAAGGTTTGGACTGGTCTTCAGCAAACCCTTGTTGCCATAAGAGACGACTAACGGGATCGGGTGGTCACACTCCCTGACTTAGGTGACACATGTCATCGTGTCCAAACTGCATAGATCAGTTGGTCTTCATTGTGGAGAGACACAGTATATACTTGTTGAAAGTCTGGACTGGACAATCCAGTGATCAACACCACAGTGGAAGAGTAAGTTAGGGAACAGTATTTGAATAATGTTACAAGTGGGATGAAAACCCGACATAATGTTGGTGTGGGATAATTGCCGTCTTAGTGAAACCCAAGAGCGCAAGTAAAAAACCTGGAAACCTAATGAGGGCAAATCCAGAATCAAACCTGCGATATGTTGCGCCTTAGATTGGTTGATTGTTTAACGTGGCACTCAGCAGTACCCCAGCTATATGGCCGCGATCTGCAAATAATCGAGTTTGGACCAGACAATCCAGTGATCAACAGGATGAGCATTGATCTACGGATACGATGACATGTGTAAACCAAGTTAGTGAGTCTGACCACCCAATCCCGTCAGGTTCTGCACCTTGTAAGAATGGACGCCTGTGCCCTCTAGCAGATCATATCAGATGTTGTCATAATAAGACAAACCATACTGGAGATGGAACTTGCCCCAGGGGAAGGCACAGCACCCGATCAGGACTATCTTGGTCAAACCACCTCAAAACCACACTACTTGAGTGTGCAAAAGCGACAGGATGGCCTGATAATCCACGCATAAACAGCAAGTCGCTAAAGCTGCATTGGGACAATGCCATGCCCATGTATGCTTTCCTGACGGAGCAAAATCTCCGAGATCAATTCCGGCGGCTTAAAATTCTCATGCCCCGTGAGCCAGTTCAACCCACAACTGGTGCCCGTCAGGGACCTTTGCTTGAGCACAATGCTCAAGTGGCAGCAGATCCAAAACTTCTGATGGACGTCCGCGTTAACCTCTCTCCTCTTCCTGGTGGAAACTCTTCCGGCGTAAAGCCGGTTGGCCCCGAAATTTCGGAACCTCACTCTTTCTCTTTCTGTTCCTCAATTGCAGATCTTTCCGAAAACCCTGTGTTTATTTTGTTTCATCCTACTTATGATGTAATATCTGATTTACCCATTTAGAAATTAAACAAACAACTAAAACTTTTCCCAAAAATTAAATTAAATTATTAAATGATAATATTTCTATGAAACTTTCTACGGACAGTTCGTTACATGAAGTTAATTGTTCTGTCTATGCTGCCGCTTGAACCTTGGAGGAATTTCACACAGTTTCCAAAGAAAACACATCCAGTCCTAAGAACAGTACACAAAAGAAAAACCAGTTTCAAGTAAAATTAACAGAAACTAGAAAATACATTTCCTGGATAGAGCTTTGCCTGAAGTTAAGATCATCGGGGAATCCGATGTCTAAACGACAAAAGGCAATTTGGAGAAAATTAAAATTACAGTATAAGACAAGAAAAGAAAAAATACTTCTCCAAATTGTCGATTCCTTGAAGGCCAAAATAAAGGTTTGGACAGAAAGAAAGAAAAAATGAGAAAAGAAAAATAAATTCATCAAACAAAATAAACTTTTTAGAAATAATGAAAAACACTTACAGGCAACTGAAAACAAACGGTGATGGTGAGCATGATAAATGGCCTCCCATGGATGCCAATGAAAGGTTCTGGAAACAGTTGTGGTCTGTAACCTGGAGGCACCATGGGTCCATGATTATGACCATGCAATGCATGAGAAAGTAACTAGGTCGTTTGTCTGCTACATCTCACCAGATTGCCTGAAAAGTGTCATCAAAAAGTCCAAATCTAATACAGCTCTAGGGCCTGATGGCATTCAAAACCGGTACTGGAAACTGTTCCCCTGTGTCCAAACACCATTACTCCACTGCTTCAATACTCTCATGGACACAGGTGATGTTCCTCCATGGTTCTGCAAAGGTCGCACATCGAGTATGACATCGAGCTCCTTGCCAAAGGAGATACCAATTTGAAAGAACAGGTTCTCCTTGTCGAATCCTTTTCTAATGGTATTGGCATGACATTTGGACTCGACTCCTTTGGAGTAGTTGATTGGACAAAACAAGACATCCAGAGTCTTGACCGCCTGACCAGAAGGATCATGTCTGATAACAGAGCCCACCACCCTCGTTCCTCTCTTAACCGTTTATATATGCCAATCAATTCTGGAGGTCGGGGCTTGATTAATGTTGAGGCTCTTCATGATAGAATTTTATTGTGTACTTTTGCACATATTTATTTATCGGATGATCCTCTGGTGATGCATGTCAAGACTCATGATGAAAGCAAAGAATTCCACAGCTATTTTAAGCGTGCCAAGGTTGTTGGCCAGACTCTGAAATTTCAGGTTGATTTTGCTGATGGCGATGTACTGCTGGACGGTACAGCGATGGAAGTAAACCAGGTGAAGTCCTTCACCAAGTCTGCCCAGAGTCGTTCTTTGGTGGAGCGGCTTTCTGAGAAGCCATTGCATCGTGTGTACATGCAGTGTGTGGAACAGAATAGCAATCCCACCGACTCCTTCGCCTGGATGAAGTCGGCTGGTCTCAAATGTGAAACCGAGGCCTTCCTTTTTGCTGCTCAGGACCAGTCACTTCCCACTCGTAATCGTCAAAATGTGATTCTTAAGGAAACTATCAATATGAAATGTCGACTGTGTAATGAATTTACAATGACTGTCCAACACCTTGTCAGTGGATGCCCTTCCTTGGCACAAACAGCATATCTTAAGAGACATGATGACATGGCTCGTTGCTTTTACCACCGTCTTTGCCATGCCTGTGGCTTTGACTCTGAGGTCCATCCATGGTAAGACCCCGAACATGTTGCTTTCAAACTTTTGTGGAACAGGCCCATATACAGCCTTAGAAGAATTCCTGCCAACAGACCTAATCTTGTCCTTTTTGATAAAGCCAATGAATTTATTTATATCATTGAATTTTCTGTCCCTTTTGACAGCAATGTGATTGACAAGATTCAGGAAAAGCATGATAAATATGCTGACCTCGCCTTTGAAATGTCTCGCTTGCTTCCAAAGTACACTGTCGTCAGACTCCCCATTGTTCTCGGTGCCCTTGGTTCGGTACCTCCTGATCTCTTGGCGCAGATCAGGAGAGTGCCAAGGTTCTCCACCGGGAGCACAGCCCTTTTGTTACTCTGAGTAATGCAGAAGGCTGCAGTGTTGGGGAGCCTTCATATTCTCCGGAAAGTTCTTGGTGGGTTCGACTAGGCAGTGTTTCCTGGGAGAGGTCCCATTCGCTGTCTGGGCTGCGAGGGCCCTGAGCTGATGATGAGCCTTACCAGCCTGACTGTGCCAGGATCACCCGAACCCTCTCTGCTGCATTTTCATCTTTAATCTGTAAAACATAATAATAATAGCACTCTTCCATGCAGTCAACACTCATACCATCATACCGTGTCAACAAACCATCCACTTACATATCCATGCAATAAAATCACCAACACAATGTCGCACTGAATAAAACACCTGATATGAGCAATTTCTTACATTCCTTCCCATTCAAGGTCACCCACACCCAACTGTTTAGGTATCGACGTGGGGATGTAAGGGACACAACTCTGCAAGGCATATCGTGGCACCTAAGACGCTGAAAAAACGAGCAATGTTGGAGAGTTCAAAAAGTGGCCGCCGCCGTAATCTGGGAAATAGCGTCTGCCTGGAGAGGACGGTGGTTCGATCCCCGACTGCGTCATACCTAAGTTGTTGAAGGATGGAACTTGTTGTTGCCTTGCCTAGACGTTAAGCGTGGAAAAGAGACGAGGACTGGTAAATGTAGGCACACGTACGCACACGCACGTGCACCGGCGGAGGAATAACGTTCGGCAGAGTTGCATTATGGGAATGAAAATACACCTGCATTGGAGACTGAACACATGTATGTACAACCGAGTTTCTGAGTTTCTGACTGATTGACTGATGTTGTGAGTGAGTGAGTGTCGCACGCAGCAATATTCCAGCTATATAGCGGCGGTCTGTAAGTAATCGAGTCTGGACCAGACAATCCAATGATCAACAGCATGAGCATCGATATACGCAATTGGGATACGATGACAAGTCTCGATCTTCACGGGTCTCTCCACAATGCAGACAAATACAGGAACCAGTGTCAGTTTCATTCTAATCCCTTTATTTGATCTCGTCACTATATGGCTGAAATATTGCCGAGGTGACGTTAACTTCTAACTCACTCACTCACCTTTATTTGAAGCCGCGTCTTTCTTTTATTGCTGACAGTAAAGAAATTTGAAGCAATGGCTTCAAACACACACACCCTGATACTACCAACAAACACACGCGCGCGCGCGCACATGCAAAAACTCGTCCAAACACGTCCCTATGTAACAGTTCCACCCATACGTTCGACGTAAAGCCCCATTTAACAGCTGTTCAGGGATGTCTTTTTGTACATTCATAAGGTTCTTTTCTACATCGTGCTCAAAATATTACTCCTACTTATAATGTGCACACGACAAAGACACCATTGTTATATCGTCTTCGATCGAGTACCGCCTGTGTCCAACATCATGGCCGAATCATTGACGCAGAGGAACAGCTGGTGGACACTACCGTACACAACATAATAACGGACGAGGCACGACTTCATCTGCTGATAAGGTTTCATATAGAGAACGCGAACTACAATTGATCTGTGTGCTTGAAATATAAGAAATATATGGAAAACCTTCGTGAACTGTGTATTTGTGATTAACAAAAAGAACCTTAGCAAAGTAAATATTTTTTGGAAATAAAAGTGCTAACATTCAGAAAAACGCTTTTTCACAGGTTCGTGTTCCTCTCCGTTCTTTATGGCTGATTTTTTGTTCAATACATCAATACACTCAGGCAGGAGTTTTAGAACAACTGTCAATGATAATGATTATAACGTATCCATAATCAATAATCAATATCAATATCGGTGACACATGATGTACACGCCCTTTATTGAGACTACGGTACAACAACGCTTGTCTCAACCGTGGCAGACTAGTTGTACTCATAGACAAATCAGGTTACCGAGTTCTCCTGGTGAATTATGAGGTAACGTTTTGTCCAAGGACATATGGCAGGGTTGCGATTACCTAGCTAAAACACCCGGATGTGCTACTGGGGTCGGAACGGTAAGGTTGACGTCAGTGTGACACGACGACGCCGTCTGTGTGGGATTGACGTGTTTTAGGTATGTATTCCGAACAACTAATCATGATAAGTCTATTTTAACACATCTTTCTTTGTTTATGTCTAAAAACACTTAATTTGTTCGTTAAAGCAGATGAGTGATTTTTGCATTTTCCTTAATGAGCAATATCACAGTTGAATCACGAGTCACGTAAACGGGTCTCGATCAGGTAAACGAGGATCATCACCGATATTCGATAGTGCACCGACATAATGGAGGCAGGTCTGAAATCCGGGCTGGTGACAGCTGTGGTCTCCAACCCATGTCTTGCCACAAGGCGACTAAGCGGGTGGTCAGTCCACTTCAAATGTTGGTTTCGTGATATCACTGGATTGGGTACAGCCATACGTCTTCGGCGTGTACATATCACAAACCCGTGAAGGTCCGGGTTAGAATGAACCTTCAGTAACCCATGCTTGTCGTAAGAGGCGACTAACGGGATCGGGTGGTCACGCTCGCTGACGGTTGACACAGGTCATCATATCCCAATTGCGCAGATCGATGCTCATGCTGTTGATCACTGGATTGTCTGGTCCAGACTCGATTATTAACAGACCGCCGCCATATAGCTTGAATATTGCTGAGTGCGGCGTAAAACTAAAATCACTCACTCACACTCTACATATCACAGTGGTCTGAGGCAGAGCTACTATATAGTGTTTCCCCAAGGATCCAAAGAGAGCAGGGAGACAGAATTCAAAAAGGGCACCATTATTCTAACACGGAAATGCAATGACATATTTCCAAGTATCAAGTAATCCATACATATGATTCTTAAAGGCTCAAAGAGCACAGTTGTTTCACTAAACTTCAACATAAAAAATACTAAACACAAACAAGTGTCGATATCAATTATTGTATTCTTTGAACAGCAATCTTTTGAGGAACACACTGAAAGAGGTCAGTCTCATATTCTTTTGTTCTAAGTATATGCCTCAGTTGAGTCTCAAGAACCTCTGTTTAGGAAGTCTTATTACAAACACTTAACCTATCAACATTCCAGAATTAATATTGAAGGTAAACTGTTACATCCGTGAAGATCCGGGTTAGATTTGATCTTCAGCAACCCATTCTTGTCGTAAGAGGCGACTAACGGGATCGGGTCGTCAGACTCGCAAGCTTGATTGACACATGTCATCGTATCCCAATAACGTTGATCGATGCTCTTACTGTTGATCACTAAATTGCCTGATCCAGACTCGATCATTTACACATATAGATGGAATATAGGAGGGGAAGCCTAGTGGTTAAAGCGTTCGCTCGTCACGCTGAACACTCATTTTCGATTCCCCACATGGGTACAATGTGTAAAGCCCATTTCTGGTGTCCACCGCTGTGATATTGCTGGAATATTGCTTCTAGCGGCGTAAAAGTAAACTTACTCAATCATTCCACATGGTCTCGTCAGCATGTAACTCAGTCATGTACATGTTCTTCGTGAAATAAAAGTATTGAAAAACCCATTCTCGTATGTATGGAATCTTGCAAAGGGCAATGTTGCATTGTCGCATTGTCGCGCTTTAGTCAACTGTGACACTTTTGCTTGTTCTTGTAAGGGCGACAATGTGACGGTGCGACAATGTCCCTTCAAGAGTTCCATACATATACAGAGTTATCATACCTCAGCAGTTTATATTTTTCTATATTTAATTTACAAGAAGGATCTTCCATGGTCGTCATTTGGAGAATTCCCGCCTCTCTTCCAAAATGTCACGATTTCGTCAAAGACTTGGTGCGTACCTTCTGGCGCTTGTGTTTGTGTGGGGAGGAATGTCGTGGTTGTTCCTGATGTGGACGCACCTCGAGAGTGATGGAACACGATTGCCAGGGAAGACAGAGCGTCATCAAGGAGACAGCATGCTGAAGGGGGAATACAGAATAGCGACAGGAAGGGAGGACGTCGACAACGCCACTGTTGTGTTCAGGGGAGACTTACCTCCTGAACCTATGCCTAATGAACCCGACTTTGATGTTGTGCGACACCTTTTCAACATAACACGTGCCGGTAAGTAACTGTTTGGGAACAAAAAAACACATCATCATTATCTCTTGCTTTCCCATGTCTTCGTCCATCCCCGGGATAGTGGGGTAGCCTAATGGTTAAAGCGTTCGCTTGTCACGCTGATGACCCGGGTTCGAATCCGGACATGGGTACAATGTGTGAAGCCCATTTCTGGTGTCCCCCGCTGTGATATTGCTCTAATATTGCTAAAAGCGGCTTAAGACTAAATTCACTCACCCACTCTTCCATCCCCATCCAAAGACCCATCCAAGGACAAATGATTTTGCCTTTTCAAAACTGGTCCAGAGTTGGTCGCGATGTCGCGTGTCGCGTTTTGAATTTTGCCTCATTTTGCATGTATTTGAGAGGGCGACACCCTTCCAGGATTCCATAGTTTAGAATGCTAAAACCCGTCACACACTCACCAAACCAACAGCCACCACTCACTCACTCAACAGAAGAGTTCGATATTTAACCTTTTCTTATAGACAGAGGTAGGAGATTTAGATTTAATGTTCAAGAAGAATACAAGATTCAAATACTTTAAATATCTGTGTTGTAGGCGACGGAGGTATAGCGTTCCGCCTTGACCCTCAAAAGTTACCCCTAGAAGAGCAAAAGAAACACCAGCTTGCCTTCAGAAAGAACGCCATGAACGAATACGTCAGCAACATCATCGGCGTGAGACGGAAGCTGAGGGATGTGAGACTGGAGGGGTGAGTTGTCCAGGTGCTTGGTTTACACAGGTGTACATGGTTTACAGATGATACATATTAAGTATCCTTGGTACATGGTAGCCTGTGGACAAAGGAATGCTTTGATGGTTACACGATGTACAGATACATGGTTTACAGATGATACATATTAAGTATCCTTGGTACATGGTAACCTGTGGACAAAGGAATGCTTTGATGGTTACACGATGTACCGATACATGGTTTACAGATGATACATATTAAGTATCCTTGGTACATGGTAACCTGTGGACAAAGGAATGCTTTGATGGTTACACTATGTACAGATACATGGTTTACAGATGATACATATTAAGTATCCTTGGTACATGGTAACCTGTGGACAAAGGAATGCTTTGATGGTTACACGATGTACCGATACATGGTTTACAGATGATACATATTAAGTATCCTTGGTACATGGTAACCTGTGGACAAAGGAATGCTTTGATGGTTACACGATGTACAGATACATGGTTTACAGATGATACATATTAAGTATCCTTGGTACATGGTAGCCTGTGGACAAAGGAATGCTTTGATGGTTACACGATGTACCGATACATGGTTTACAGATGATACATATTAAGTATCCTTGGTACATGGTAACCTGTGGACAAAGGAATGCTTTGATGGTTACACTATGTACAGATACATGGTTTACAGATGATACATATTAAGTATCCTTGGTACATGGTAACCTGTGGACAAAGGAATGCTTTGATGGTTACACGATGTACCGATACATGGTTTACAGATGATACATATTAAGTATCCTTGGTACATGGTAACCTGTGGACAAAGGAATGCTTTGATGGTTACACTATGTACAGATACATGGTTTACAGATGATACATATTAAGTATCCTTGGTACATGGTAACCTGTGGACAAAGGAATGCTTTGATGGTTACACGATGTACCGATACATGGTTTACAGATGATACATATTAAGTATCCTTGGTACATGGTAACCTGTGGACAAAGGAATGCTTTGATGGTTACACGATGTACCGATACATGGTTTACAGATGATACATATTAAGTATCCTTGGTACATGGTAACCTGTGGACAAAGGAATGCTTTGATGGTTACACGATGTACCGATACATGGTTTACAGATGATACATATTAAGTATCCTTGGTACATGGTAGCCTGTGGACAAAGGAATGCTTTGATGGTTACAAGATATACAGATACGTCTTACACATACATGTGTTCAGTCTCCCATGCAGTTATATTTTTATTCCCATCATGCAGTTGTGCCGAGCGTTACTCCTCCGCCGGTCTCCCCAGACCAGCATCATCATCTGTTTCGTCAACGAGGCGTGGTCAACGTTGCTGAGGCTGATTCACAGTATCCATGACAACACCCCGCCCCACCTAGTAAAGGAGGTGATCCTCGTCGACGATGGATCGTCATGGGGTAGGTGCCGTGTTTGTATGTTTGTTTGCTGTTTTACGCCGCACTCAGCAATATTTCAGTTAAACTGGCGTACAAAAGAAAGTACACACACGGTTCTTTTAGATTACTTTCCAAAACGCGACGTAAATGTTTTGAAAAGAGTTTTTACAGTAATATAGAAGTCCCATTCCTAATATGTTGCCAAAACACCGCAGATATCGTGCCCAATTGCGAAGTTGCCAGTCAAAATCACAACACTTTTCAAATAATCTCAAAACACCAGGTGTGTACTTTCTTTGTAAGTCAGTTTTATATGGAAGCGGTCTGTAAATTATCGAGTCTGGACCTGACAATCAAGTGATCAACAGCATGATCATCGACCTACGCAATTGGGATACAATGACATGTGTCAACCAAGTCAGCGAACCTGACAGACCGATCCCGTTAGTCACCTCTTACGACAATCATGGGCTGCTGAAGACCAGTTTTAACTCGTATAATGTCTATAGGGCTTGTCAATCAGAGGTTGTAATTGAGATTTGAAACCTCTGATTAACCAGATACAGAATCAAAATAGTGGTGGGTATGATGTCCATGGTAGAAATAACTGGTAGTGTGTGATAGTCTGTGTCTGAGATGGAGAGGTTTATGCTGCCTTGAGCATATTGTAACCATATGTGATGAGGGATGTCACCAGAATCTGGTTTCTCAAGCTGTAGCTATTTGGAAACTCGAACACTAATATTCGCCGTGACGAGCGAACGCTTTACCCACTCTGCTACTGAACGCCACTAGAAGTATTTAAAATCCGCGGATACGAGACATTACAAGTGGGCTTATTTATACGTGGACATAACTTTAGATAGTGAAGCGAACCAAGGTGTATTTCTACACAGCAAAACGTAACAGTGACTTCATACTGTGACGTCATCAACCAGATGTCCCAGTGTGAACCAGAACTCTTCTACCTCCACAACATGCACCCTCGTTTTCATAGTTGTCAAATGTACCGCCACGTGTTTATTTTTCTTGTTAGGAAATGCATACAGTTGCGATACTGATTAACAACGATGTGCGTCCCTCCAATAATGTTAACAGCAATGCGACCTTTAAATCGCGGTCAGCCGTCAGAGGTTGTAACAGCAATTTGAAACCCCTGATAAATCGATCCGAACTGACAACTTCAATTCTCAATTTCATGCTTGTCTGGACCGGTTGCTCGATGTGTGTTTATGACTAGTTTAATTAGGGGTTGTAACTGCGATTTGAAACCTCTGATTAAGCAAATTCAGAATTAAAATAGTCAGATTCGTGTCCTTAAAAGGATTCGCCATTTCATATTTGTCTGGACAAGTTGCTCGATGTGTTCATTTAGAGGTAGTAACTGCAATTTGAGGCCTCTGATAAACCGATCAGAAAGTTATAAGGATTTTCCATTTCCAGATTTCCTGGGGAAGCCGCTGGACGCCTACATGGCTCGGTTCCCTAAGGTGCAAATAGTCCGAGCCAGGAAGGGCCTGGGGCTGATGGTGGCGAGGACATTGGGCTACAACTACACCACGGCGCCCTTCATAACGTTCCTGGACTCACACTGTGAATGTTTCCCAGGTAATCTACATGACGACTCAGACTTGACACTGGCCACAATCATGTTTAAGACCATTGTAAATCAGTTAATGTCTATGAGTGACAGTAAACATCAGTACAATATGTGTTGGTTTACATCAATGTATGTCAGTTGACGTCAATGTATGTCAGTTTACATCAATTTGGGTCAGTTTACGTCAATGTGTGTCAGTTTACATCAATGTGTGTCAGTTTACATCAATGTTTGTCAGTTTACATCTATGTGGGTCAGTTTACATCAATGTGGGTCAGTTTACATCAATGTGTGTCGGTTTACATCAATGTGTGTCAGTTACATCAATGCGTGTCAGTTTACATGAATGTGTGTCAGTTTACGTCAATGTGTGTCAGTTTACATCAATGTGGGTCAGTTTACATCAATGTTTGTCAGTTTACATCAACATGTGTCAGTTTACATAAATGTGGGTCAGTTTACATCAATGTGGGTCAGTTTACATCAATATGTATGTCGGTTTACGTCAATGTGTGTCAGTTTACATCAGTGTGGGTCGTTTACATCAATGTGGATCTACGTGGGTCAGTTTACATCAGTGTGTGTCAGTTTACCTCAACGTGGGTTAGTTTACATCAATGTATGTCAGTTTACATCAATGTGGGTCAGTTTGCATCAATGTGTGTCAGTTAACATCAATGTGTGTCAGTTTACATCAATGTGTGTCAGTTTACATCAATTTGTGTCGGTTTACATCGATTCGTGTCGGTTTACATCAATGTGTGTCAGTTTACATCAATGCGTGTCAGTTTACATCAAAGTATGTCAGCTTACATTAATGTATGTCAGTTTACATCAAAGTATGTCAGTTTACATTAATGTATGTCAGTTTACATCAAAGTATGTCAGTTTACATTAAAGAACCACTAAACTTTGTTTTTGTTACTCTTTTAACCATTACATATGAAAGATTTGTGGTTAGTCTTATGCGGAACACCAAATTTATTCTTTAAAACTTGTGGTTAATTAATACCGAGCGATTAAAAGTGGCCAAAAGTCGCCTGCTTCCCTCTCGCCCGCGAACGAAACCACAGACAGGTTACGTAACTCTGTCGCCAGAGCACTGCAGTGACGTCATATGAGGAACGATTTTCAGTTAGTTGGATAGAAAGTGTGTAGCACGCTCATCATTTTGTTGATTTCTCGACATGAACGACGACATGCCGAATCGTTGCTTTGTCGTCAATTGCCCCTAGGGGTCGGGTGATGGTGTCACCATGCACAGATTTCCACAGGACCCCGCAGTTCGTGCTAAATGGGTTATGTTTGTGAGTGCGAAGCGAGCGTTGTGGAAGCCTGAAACGATATCTTACTTGTGTTCAGATCGCTTCACGGAAGTTAAAGAATCAAAACTACTTACTAGTTATAGTAAAATATGTATATGATTGATGACCATAAAGATTTTCCATAACACAACTTGTAACATAACGATTTCTTCCTCGGAAGTGAGGTTGTGGTCGAAGTAACAATAATATTGTAAGTAGTATTATATTGACACCCACCTCGCTGCCAGGAGAAATTGTTATGTTATACGCTATGTCATGCAAACTCCTATTGGCCATCAATAAAATACATATTTTGCTACCAGTAGAAAGTAGTTTTGATTTTGTAACTCGGTGAAAACAAACCTAAATAGCATTTATCCACAGACTGGCGGATGTTCCCGACAGAATGCCGCCATTTTTTGAAAATCGTAAAGTCTGTTAGAATTAATGAGATTATAGTTTGTTTTCATCAAGTTAGCAAATCAAAACTTCTTTCTACTCGTAATTAAATATGTATTGGAATCATAACCAAAGGATTTTGCATGACACAACCCATAACATAACGATTTCTTCCACGGAAGCGAGGTGGGGGTCGAAGTCACAATACTGCGCGATAACTTTCTTGCTACATTCCCATGGTTAATGTCCACTCACCAGTATGTAGATACTAGTCAATGTGCGTCTTTATATTTGGTCTTATAACCCTAATTAAATACTTGTATGCATTTTGAAACTAAATAAAAGCAGACGATCTGCTGAATACTTATAGTGAATTTATAACAGAACTGTAATATCTAGACATTATATAGTTTGCCAATGTGAATCATAATTCGCACACACCCCCTAGTGCATGTTGTCTGTCTCATTACACTTCACGGCGAAAACAATGATTCTGTTGATATGCTACGACAAATGAATAAAAACAAAATGCAAATATTAAAATTAAAACAGATTAAACTTATAGGAACAATATCAGGCCATTACCTTGTTCGAGGAATGTATCCATCAATATCAACAAAACTGTTCCAAATGATGTGCCTTTAAACAGTTTAATATACGAAAAAGTGATAAATCTTTTCAGGTATTGGTGTATAGTCTCATTGGTCACCCAAGATAGCACACCTGGCAACTAATTGCATAATGTCCGCCTTTCTTTAAAAACAGTAATTTAGTTAGCCAATAATGGGCAATCAATCAATGTATTGCCGGTTAATCCTTTGAAAGAAGGACGTTGTTTTTACGCAGACACCGACACGACAGAGTGTATTCAGTATAGATTAGTAAATCTACTTACATAAACACTACCTTTTGACAATTCCGCTGTGTAAGATGAAAGTAATTAATCAATCAGCGTGTTATCGGTTAATCCTTTGATCGATGTTTATAATGTTGAATATTTACTCCAGACACAAGAAATGCCAAATGGGAACCTTTGTCGGGTAATCTAAGTGTGTTACCACTAATTATACCTGTTGTAAATTCATTAACTGACCATCAAGTGAATGATGACAAATAACATATGTAGGTATATACCACCTAACACGGGTTACAACAAGGGAGTATTAATTGCTGTATTGCATGTGAAAACTTATGGGCCGACACTGTTTTGAGAATACAAACAGATTTTTACATGACATGATTAAATATCGAGGTAAAAAAACACAGAAATGGGATCAATTTGAATCAGTCATTATACAAATATGGCCTAACGACACCAATCGATTTTGACAGAATCGTCTATGAAAACAAGTTGTAACTCGGAAACTAGGCAAAGCAGGAGACAAAACTAAATGACAGTAGATTGTGAGAACATATAGCTTTCATTTTCCACAACAATTGTCACGATTTCAGGTTTATACAAGCCTGTAAACAAGATAATTTAACCCTAAAATGTAGATGAATTCTGCATCGGCCCTCAAAGCTATTCCTCATATGACGTCACAGATGCGCGCCGCTCTGATTGGTTGAAATTTCGTTCGCGGGTGAGAATTGTGCACTGTTGTCAAAAGGTCGATTTAAGTCAATTAAAGGTCGAAATGAGTAGTTTTAATGACGGGGTTTCATTTATAACGATGCCAGTTAGTGATTTATGTATTTTTACCCCTAGGGTTTATGTGACCTTTAATGTATGTCAGTTTACATCAACGTATGTCAGTTTACATTAATGTATGTCAGTTTACATCAACGTATGTCAGTTTACATTAATGTATGTCAGTTTACATCAAAGTATGTTAGTTCACATTAATGTATGTCAGTTTACATCAAAGTATGTCAGCTTACATTAATGTATGTCAGTTTACATCAAAGTATGTCAGTTTACATTAATGTATGTCAGTTTACATCAATGTATGTCAAATTACATCAACGTATGTCAGTTTGCATCAAAGTATGTCAGCTTACATTAATGTATGTCAGTTTACATCAATGTATGTCAAATTACATCAACGTATGTCAGCTTACATTAATGTATGTCAGTTTACATCAAAGTATGTCAGTTTACATTAATGTATGTCAGTTTACATCAAAGTATGTCAGCTTACATTAATGTATGTCAGTTTTCATCAAAGTATGTCAGCTTACATTAATGTATGTCAGTTTACAGCAATGTATGTCAAATTACATCAACGTATGTCAGCTTACATTAATGTATGTCAGTTTACATCAAAGTATGTCAGCTGACATTAATGTATGTCAGTTTACAGCAATGAATGTCAAATTACATCAACGTATGTCAGCTTACATTAATGTATGTCAGTTTACATCAAAGTATGTCAGTTTACATTAATGTATGTCAGTTTACATCAAAGTATGTCAGCTTACATTAATGTATGTCAGTTTGCATCAAAGTATGTCAGCTTACATTAATGTATGTCAGTTTACAGAATGTATGTCAAATTACATCAACGTATGTCAGCTTACATTAATGTATGTCAGTTTACATCAAAGTATGTCAGTTTACATTAATGTATGTCAGTTTACATCAACGTATGTCAGCTTACATTCATGTATGTCAGTTTACAGCAATGTATGTCAAATTACATCAACGTATGTCAGCTTACATTAATGTATGTCAGTTTACATCAAAGTATGTCAGTTTACATCAAAGTATGTCAGTTTACAGCAATGTATGTCAAATTACATCAACGTATGTCAGCTTACACTAATGTATGTCAGTTTGCATCAAAGTAAATATTTGTCGGCGTACATCAGTGTATGTCAAATTACATCAAAGTATGTCAGTTTACAATAATGTATGTCAGTTTACATCAATGTGTGGAACCAATCTGTTTACATGCGTCACCACTATGACCTCAGGGTGGCTGGAGCCCTTGCTGACCCCCCTGGCCACGGACCCCAAGGTGGTGACCACGCCCTGTATAGACAGTATCGACAAGAACCACTTCGGCATCGGTGTCGGGCCAGATGCGCTGGTTGGGGTGGTGGAGTTCCCGACGCTGCAGTTCGGTTGGCGAATAGCGCCCCCGAGAGAGAGGAAACGGAGGAAGAGCAAGCTGGAGCATGTCAGGTAATATATTTATCTTCATGTATAGAGTATCGATTTTGTCGTACGCAAAATTCTGAATCCGCTGATGCGTTTTAGTTTTTGGCGATTCATGGGATTCGGGTGATTCTACGATCAAAGGCGCCAACTCGTGGGTTCGAAACCCGGATCAACCCTCTCATACACCTTGGCTTTCAATGCAAAATGTGTATTGTTTCCAAAGAGGATGGGTTTAAGTGATGTGTCACTTAGCACTCTCCATAGTGCCGAGGTGATAAATAATATGCTGTCCAAATGGCTTGCATATCATTAATTACAAGCAAACAGTGATGCCAGACCCTTGGCGAAAGGTTGAACTTGTCCTGCCCGTTCGGGGGCGCATGTCATAAACACACGCAAAGGCAAGTCATTTGTTCATTCCTTTTTCATCCCTTATTGACCAAACCAACAGTGCTCAAATACGAGTTGAGTGTGTTTATCCTGTTACCTTCACGGGCCGAACTTCTTATATTGTATTCCCAGTGTAGTTCTATTATACATAAATCATAATCAGCTTGAAATTGACGCTCGCAAACACCGGGTGTCTTCACTGATTTTCGGGACCCATTCATATAACTTTCACTGCAGTGTTTCCCTTCACACGAGAGGATGGATAGTCAAGACAGGGTATTCTTTTCCATTGACGTTCGGGCGGTGGGGTAGCCTAGTGGTTAAAGCGTTCGCTCGTCACGCCAAAGACCGGGTTTGACTCCCTAAATGGTACAATGTATGAAACACATTTCTGGTGTCCCCCGCCGTGATATTGCTGGAATATTGCTCAAAGCGTCGTAACACTAAATCCACTCACTCACTCCACTGACGTTCTATATCTATGTTCTATTCTTAAACATCCCAGAAGCCCAGCAATGGCGGGAGGCCTTTTCTCCATCACGCGTGAGTTCTTCGATCTTCTTGGAGGTTTTGACCCTGGAATGAAAATCTGGGGAGGGGAGAATATCGAGATGTCGTTCAAGGTAAGTCTATAACCATCACCATCTTAAACCTTGGCTGAAGTTCTCGTATTTTCTTTCAAAGTACTTTAAGTGTGTTTTTTTAAGAGTTTCCAGGAAACCTATTCCCATTTAGCTCACTCAAGATTTTAGAGTCCCTGATCGACTGATTCTATATATGTAAATGTGTGTGTTATTATCCGGTCGGCAAACAGCTGCGATATTGCGTAGGTGATAATATTAACTCCCTCCCTCGACATACCCTGAACTATTCATCCATTCAACTTTCTCATCTCTCGTGAATATTTCGACTCTCCTGGAGCATAAGGAACTGTCATGGGAATTGCTCCCGTTCTACAGCTAAAGCATGCCACCACAAACCAATCAACTGAAAAATGGATACATGAAATTCTTCAAACACGCTGCTGTCAAATTGTAATAGTTGTTCAAAGATGGTTTTATTGGTTGATTATGTTCCTCATTAACATCCAATGGGAGCGTGCGATGCAGTCCTCTGCGGCATCATCATTCATTGTGAGGAGTTGTGTCCCTTAGGAGAGACAGAATTCGCAGATTTGTAACATGGACACTCAACCGTCTTAACTACTGATATGAGCGTAACACAGTGACTACCATACGTAGCTTAACCTCGATTCCTCACCCATAGGGTAAATAGGTCCCCTAACCCAACGGGTTTTATCCCCTAGTATGCTGAACCCTAGTCAGGGTAACAAAAAGTACCATTGTTAATATATGTATCTTCTTGTTTTATGCCGCTACCGTGGGACCGTACAACACACCTTCCGCTCTGTCCACTAGAGCAAGTCGGTCGTAGATCAAAAGATTCGTTTTTCTTTTTGTAATTTGGAGTGGCACTATTTCAAAACAAGGAAACAAGGAAAATTCTATAATCGAGTCTGGACTAGAAAATCCAACGATACTTACCTCAAGATTTCAGCAGATTATCCAAGGACTTAGGCACATTTCCCGCGTCAACCATGTTACGAAAGGTGACCCTTAATCAATATCACTCTTAGTCACTCGGGCGGTGGGGTAGCCTAGTGGTTAAAGCGTTGGCTCATCACGCCGAAGACCCGGGTTCGATTCCCCACATGGGTACAATGTGGGAAGCCTATTTTATGGTGTACCCCGCCTTGATATTGTTGGACTATTGCTAAAAGCGGCGTAACACTAAACTCACTAACTCACTCCAGTGTTATAAATGTTATAACAACATCATAAATACTTCCATTTTTGTTTACCATAACGAAACTGCCATAATGATGTTCCACCAGATCTGGATGTGCGGTGGGCGGATTGAGACGCCCATCTGTTCACGTGTCGGTCACGTGTTCCACAGTCACAACAGCTACCAGGGGCTACGTTCGGGGACCTTCGAGGCCGGTGATGCCAACAACGCCCGCGTCGTGGAAGTGTGGATGGATGACTACAAGAAGTACTTCAACCACTACAGAAGAAAAGTTCGTGAAACACGCTACGTATGTCTATATACAGAAACTTACAATAACATATTACAACGCTTCCTTAGCCTCCGGTGGGGAACTCCAGCAATCTTCACACACTGTACCATGTGGGGAATCGAACAAGGGTTTTTCACGTGAGGAGCGAACGCTTTAACCACTATGCTACCCCTATTAGTAACAACTTGTGTCATTCAGGCAAGCCGTATGGCGACTCGTACCCCTCTTGTGGGCATGTTCATGACTGGGCCTTGTCTAAGCGCAAACGGGGACGAAGATGAAAATAGTCTAGGACTATTTCCAAGGAAAGATAACTCTGAAATTCCAAACATGGCTACTCCTAACACGAAAGTCACTTTACGTAAGTCTATTGTGTCGTTAACAAATTCAGTAACAAAATAAAAAAATTTAATCCCGGAAACAATATTAAAAATCGATAATCGCAAAGAAACTATTTGACCTCATTCACATTTTACTACGCGCGATTTGATCGGTTTGCTACTATTCTTGGCAATAATGGCGTACTATCCAGTCTTCTTGTAGGTCACGGTGGAAAGAGGCGAGTAGTTACGAATGGGCTACCCCATCGCCACCAACGTCATACATGGTTATACATGTACATTAACTAAGGTTATATCGTACCAAAAGAGACCAATAATTTTAGTTCGTAATAACTGTAGTTTTGTACGCAGTGCGAATAAAGTATACAGAAAATGATAGAGGTTAAAAAATGCTCGCTATAGCCTACGCGTCTTCGTTATAAAAGAAATTTACTGTAATTTCACCACAAATTGCAATCGCCTTGTCTTCCTCGACGCGCAGGGGTGATGGCGTAGCCTAGTGGTTGAAGCGTTCGCTCGTCACGCCGAAGACTCGGGTTCGATTTCCCACATGGGTACAATGTGTGAAGATCATTGCTGGTGTCTCAGGCGTGATATTGCTAGAATATTGCCAAAAGAGGCGTAAAACCATACTCACTCACTCACTCCTCTGGATCGGTAAGAGGCAACTAACGGGATCGGGTGGACAGTAGTGTTGGGAATTGGTTAAAATCTCATAATTGATGATTGGTTCATTACAACCGATCAATCATCGAAAATAATTGGTTAGCGTCATTTATGAAATTTGTTAATGCACATAAATATAAGGATAAAAAACATGTAGTTCTTTGGGGCTTTTTGGCAAATTTCACATCTTTAAAGGATGACTAGTATTTTAGGAACATAAGTTTCTTGGAGCCTTTAAGATAACTTCAATCATGACTTGGAACGAGCTTGTAGTGCTTACAAAATGTAACAGACAAAACCATCCTTGTGAAAAATATTGTTAATGAAAACAAGTGTTCTAAAATTGGTTGTGTTCGATTATGAGAAATTATGATCGATTGCTTGGTCGTTTAGTCACTACGACCAATCTTCGATTATTTCAATTAATTGGACCACAACTATTGGACAGGCTCGCTGACTTGGTTAACACATGTCATCGTATCTCAGTTGCCTAGATCGATTCTCATACTGTTTATCACTGGACTATCTGGTCCAGACTCGATTATTTACAGACCGCCGCCATATAGCTGGAATATTGCTGAGTGCGGCGCTAAACACCAACCAACCAACTCTAGAATCTCCCCCTTTGTCATATTTTAGGCTTACCAGACAGGGTGCGTTCCACAAAGTGATCGTAGCGCTACGACTGTCGTAAGTCAATGTCAGTGAAAGAGACTTACGATCACCTTAGCTCTAAGATCCACAAAGCAATCTTAGCGCTGCGACTGTCGTCAATGTTAATGAGACTTATGAACACCTTAGCGCCAAGATCCACAAAGCGACCTTACGACTGTCGTAAGTCAATGTTAGTACGAGACTTACGATCACCTTAGCGCTAAGATCCACAAAGCAATCTTAGCGCTGCGACTGTCGTCAATGTTAATGAGACTTATGAACACCTTAGCGCCAAGATCCACAAAGCGACCTTACGACTGTCGTAAGTCAATGTTAGTACGATACCTTACGATCACCTTAGCTCTAAGATCCACAAAGCAATCTTAGCGCTGCGACTGTCGTCAATGTTAATGAGACTTATGAACACCTTAGCGCCAAGATCCACAAAGCGACCTTTACGACTGTCGTAAGTCAATGTTAGTACGAGACTTACGATCACCTTAGCGCTAAGATCCACAAAGCAATCTTAGCGCTGCGACTGTCGTCAATGTTAATGAGACTTACGAACACCTTAGCGCCAAGATCCACAAAGCGACCTTACGACTGTCGTAAGTCAATGTTAGTACGAGACTTACGATCACCTTAGCTCTAAGATCCACAAAGCAATCTTAGCGCTGCGACTGTCGTCAATGTTAATGAGACTTATGAACACCTTAGCGCCAAGATCCACAAAGCGACCTTACGACTGTCGTAAGTCAATGTTAGTACGAGACTTACGATCACCTTAGCTCTAAGATCCACAAAGCAATCTTAGCGCTGCGACTGTCGTCAATGTTAATGAGACTTATGAACACCTTAGCGCCAAGATCCACAAAGCGACCTTACGACTGTCGTAAGTCAATGTTAGTACGAGACTTACGATCACCTTAGCGCTAAGATCGCTTTGTGGATTGGGACCCAGTTGTTTATATATCCTAGATATGCAAGTATGGAAATGAATTACAATGGTTTTTTGCACATCACTGCAAACAAAAGTGATAACTGTCATAGTGAAATGAAAAATTAAGCTGATGTATATCACCTGTGCCAAAATATGCTCTTGTCATGGTTTTACTGCACTTAATCAGAATCAGTGGTTCAACAAGCAGTTTTCGTAGGCCCTTCAGTGCAAAACAGCAGATGAGAATCATCTGACCGCTGTGATTGGATGATTTTGTTTAAGATTTCTGCGTTTTTTAAATGTACATCCATTCAGTAAATAAAACGATCCATATTATTCGATATTTCTCGCTGTCTTTTTCAACATGATGACTTACGTTGAATGTGACCACAATTATTTTCAAGTATGTGACATTTTGTGAGGAACTGGGTTCGCCTGAACATGTTCATGTACAATGTATTCGGAAAAAGAGATGGTTAAAGAAGTCTTTTTGCGTTTATTTAATTTCAGCTTTAATGCCAAGCAGCGCACACATATGCATGTAAAACCTGTCGGTCGTTTAGTCAAATAGCCTTTAAATATATAGTTACTTTAAATGTCAGTCGAAATATCTTTGGTTCAGTGTACCTTCATACCTTATCCTTTGTGAACAAACTGCTAGACTATTTTCACGTCCTAATTACTGCTTCACAGATACCAGGAGATGTCTCTGAACGCCAGAAGCTAAGGGAGAGAATTGGATGTAAGTCCTTCTCCTGGTACATCGAAAATGTGTACCCGGAAGTAGCCCTACCGGGAGACGGTATATACTCAGGGGAGGTAAGTCAGTGCAAGATGGCGGTCCGAAGCTGCCTTTTCTTTCAGTACCCGTGAAGGTCCGGGTTAGAATTTTTTTTTTTACACTCACTTTTCTTTCAGTTGAACATGATACAGGTGAACAGCTGAATCGAATGGATTGGTTTATCTGTAAGCGATATTTCTGGAGTGTATAGCTCACACATCCATTTTTCTCTATATTACACTACATTACAAATATTTAAAAACACATATTGAAATTTTGAATGTTTTTCTCGTAATTTCAATTTTTTTCGAAGTCTTTTACTTTGTGATTATTTTAATTATTTTTTTTTTAAATTTATATATACTCAAAATTTATATTTTAAAAAACTAGCTGATGCTTTCAAAGAGGCAGATTGCCGTTTCTAATTATCTCTGAAACACATGAGGATGGTAAGATGCAGTATTGTGTTTGTATTTTTCTTTGGCCAAGTTGCTTAGAATTTTGTCTGGTATTTGAGAGAATACCAATGGTGTTTTATGAACAGTCAGAAACTTAGCACTCCTATTTGTTTAACCTAAACTGTTTCCTTTTTCAGATACGTAACGAGGCCTTTCCCAAATTGTGCCTCGATATGATGACTTCCAAAGAGGGGGGTCACCCCGCCATGTTTGGCTGTCATGGGCAGCGGGGTACTCAGGTGAGTTAAATGATGTTTGGGGTGTCGGTGTTATTTAGCTATATAAATATTTCTTTTCGGAGGGTGGCGAGGATGGGCGGTATTGGCGTCACGTATTGGTTTGTGGAACTTGTTTGAGAGGCATTTAGAAGTTGGATCAGTGAGGAAGCATGACAATATACTAAGTATGCTTATACCGCAAGCATCGCTATTCCATCTACCTAATTTAACCAACCAGCCATCCATTCTGTTCCATCTACCTTTAATAACCGTCACGTAACCAACCAACTCATTATAATGAAGACATTGCGACATTGTTCATGCATATATATATATATTGTATTCCTTCCTGGTTTGTGGATGACTGACTGAATGTCCGACTCTCTAGAGTTACGACCCATAACGATGTCAGGATCGGCTGAAAGTTGTGAATCACAAACAATATTCATCATGATTTGACCTGCTACTCTTGGGGTCTCCCCCTCTGGCACACTGTCAGCAAACTCCCCCTGCTCGCCTATTTACATTATTATGTGTACCTGTGAAGATCCGGGTTAGAATTGATCTTCAGTATCCCATGCTTGTCGTAAGAGGCGACTAACGAGATCGGATGGTCAGGCCCGCTGACTTGGTTGACACATGTCATCGTATCCCAGTTGCGTAGATCGATGCTCATGCTGTTGAGCACTGGGTTAATCTGGTCCAAACTCGATTATTTGCAGACGGCCTCCATATAGCTGGAATATTGCTAACTGTGGCGTTAAACAACAAACCATCTACATTATTATGTTAAAACCACGATGCTTGGACACATTTACACTTCGTGTTTCCAGTTATTCGACATGACGGATCTTGGAGAAATCGTGTCGTTGAACCGCTATCTGGCCCGAGTACACGGCGGTGTATTGTCTAACCAGAAGAGCAACTGGGGCTCTCGAAAACACGTCTGGGATTACAAGGTAGCTAACAGTAGCTAACTCACGATTTGTGAGTGCCAATTTGTAGACCGATTTATGTAATCGTAAAAGTGTAATTTCAACGCATAAATCATACAGACCAACAAATTCCCTCTTCACTAATAATTCAGCGTTGGCTTCCCAAACACGCCAAAGACCGGGTTCGATTCCCCACCTGGGTACAATGTGTGAAGCCAATTTCTGGGTGTCCCCGCCGTGATATTGCTGGAATAATGCTAAAAGCGGCGTAAAACCATACTCACTCACATACTCACTCTACACTGAAGCTAAAACTAAAGATTTTAATTTCCATGCCTAAGCGTTTTTCATAATGCACGTGTAAGAGCTGTATTTATAATCCTGGTTAACATAATACAGGACAAATAAGTCAGAACAGTTACCATTACTATGCAGCCTGTCCTTTTAATTTGCATGCTTAGCTTCCACGGGTAACAGCTGTATTTCATTCATCCTGGGTTAGATCATAAAAGACCGCCTCCGTGGTGTAGTGGAAGTTAGAGCGTCCGCCCGAGCGGAAGGTCGTGGTTCGATCCCCGACCGCGTCATACCAAAAGACGTTAAAATATGGTACTTGTTGGTCCCTGCCTGGCGCTCGGCATTAATGGGTACAACAAGGACTGGTCGGCTCGGAGTCAGTATAATGTGTCTGAGTGGGGTATTCATGCTTCACTGCGGCATGTGTATCTCAGTGGGTTAGCACTATAAAATCGAAAAGCACTTCAGTCTGGGCTAGTACAAGCAGCCGCACATACACATACACACGCAAGCACGTCGTCATATGAGCGAAATATTCTCAAGCACGACGTTAAACCCAATTTCACCTCACCTCACCTAGATCATACAGCTCTACAACGTCCGGACAAATAAGTTAGAATAGTTCCTTAGTCAACTACAGAAAATGATTCAAATCACTGAAATTATCATCATGTATGTCTAGTGACTAGCGGCTTTGAACACTCAATTAACTCACACATTGTACCCATCGGGAATCGAAACCGGTCCTTCGGCGTGTCGAGCGAACGGTTTAACCACTGTAGGCTATTCTCATGCTGGAAATTATAACTGGCTCTCGCGCGAATTGCATGTGCGGCGTCAAACACTGTTCATTCACTATTCGATTTTACACTTTCAGATAAATGTAGTATCTCATCACCAAATTCATGATAGGCTGAGTTAGAGAGGCAGAACGTGACAGAAGACACGAGTGACGGTAGGAATCGATTAAACTATATATTGGATGGTTAGAATCTGAGATAAGTACGTCAACAGCAGTAACGCTGCTCATTTTAGCAACAACACAACAACGGTGTTGGCGGCGATATGAAACCAGTGACATCGTTCAACGCATTATGCAACATAAGTAAGAATGCCTGATGCTGTGACGAGAAAATATTTGATGTATCGAGAAATTAATCGAAATTTCAAGTTTTGGAAAGAAACTTGAAATAACGAGAAAATATTCGAAGCAACATTTCTGAGTACTATTTATACTTCTTCATAAGAATAAACTCCGAAACGGGACTGTCCGTATTTTAGTCTCCAGTCCGATATAAATAATGCATTGATGTGACAAAAATAAACCCATACCCGTGCACACTCATAGAAAAACAGGCGGTGGGGTAGCCTAGTGGCTAAAGCGTTCTCTCGTCACGCCAAAAACCCGGGTTCAGTTCCCACATGGGTACAATGTGTGAAGCCCATTTCTGGGGTCCCCCGCCGTGATATTGATGGAATATTGCTAAAATCGGCTTAAAACCCAAACTCAGTTAGTCATTGAAAACAGGTCAGCTTGACCTGTCCTCATCTAATTATATTGAAAACATGTCTCCGAACCAAGGCTATTCGATTTACATCATAAATTAGTATAAAGACATTTACGAATTGATCTAAATTTATCAATTCATCAAAAAGAACGTTAGACAGTTATTTTTTCTTAAACACTTTAATAAGTACGGATTGCCCTTCACAGATGTTGTTAATTAACCACTAAACTTTGTTTTTTGTTACTCTTCCCCCTCACCATTTTTCACAAAGTGGTGATTAAAGCGCCCATAAAATATCACTTACTGACCGCAGTGTGGACTCTAACTGCAAGTCTGCAACGGTTGTACAGTTAAGACAGTCTTCAAATAACCGCGTTGAGACATATCTAACTACGGCGACCCAATCAATCAATCGATCTATCTGTCGATTTAAGTTTTATTTAATTTAATTTACCGTTGTAGGAATATTGAGTTTTGTGACATTTTCTGTAAGTCAAAATTTAATTGACCGTTCTAAGAATACTGAAATTTAGCGACATTTTCTGTAATTTAATTTAATTTACCGTTGTAAGAAAACTGGAGTTTAGTGACATATTCTGTAATTTAATTTGATTTACCGTTGTAAGAATACTGACGTTTAGTGACATTTTCTATAATTCACTAGTAATATCAATAATTAAAATACAAGTTGTTACTTTAACTATATTATCATATTCATCATAAGCCGGGTTTCTTGTTTTGCAGGTAGCTGACACATGACGTCGTCTCGATTATCCTATTCTTCTTCCACCATGCTCAAACGTCGACGTAACCTTGACCTACTGTTGGTGCTAGCTGTGTTTGTCTGGGGAGTGATGGCGTGGTCCCTCTTCAGTTGGGTCCACAACGAGAAACGGGGATCCTTGCCGAGGATGACGAGGAAGTACGTGGCGGACTTTATGCTCAAAGATGAATTTCGGATGGTGCCAGGAAGGGGAGGACCGGGCAAAGCATCATGGGAACGTAGAGAAAATATGGCATCCCCAGAGTGCCGTTAACGCACATAGGACTTCTTTAAATAACACAGCTGGTGTACATGTTGAGAAGAAAGGCAAAGAGGACGTTCACAACGCCACTGTTGTGTTGAGAGGCGAATGGCCACCTAATCCACTTCCTAATGAACCCGACTTTGACGTTTTGCGTCGGCTTTTCAACATTACAAACGCTGGTACGGATCTAATGTTTTTATTTGTTTTATCTTTTCACATTTTATTCACATTTGCCGCTACGTAGGATTAGCCCTGCATATCTGCCAACATGCTATTTTCAGGAGTTTTGTCATTTCCATAAATGGACATTGTTGATTGTATTCGACCAAATTCTCCAGTTCTTCCATTCCATGACGTTTCTTTCTATTCTTTCTAAGAGATGTTACATTTGAATTCAAGCCTCTGCAAAAATGGCTGAAAATGCAATTATTCTTTTTAAATTTCGACATTGATAAATTAAATATTTCACATGTACATTAAGATAATCAACCATGACACTTCAAAAATTACCATAAAGAAACTTTTTTGTTTGTAAAAATATCAGAAAAACTAAATATAACTTATAAGTATTCATTTAGAAACGCCCAAAGATAATTAAAATGATGCCAATATTATCTCTCTTGTTTCAGCATGGACAATGTTCAGAATCAGTAATATTTTTTTTTTTTCAACCATGTATATGTTTTTACTATATCATTCTCAATCTTTGGTTGAAGCTATTTCACTGTATTTTCAAATGATATACGATGAAACAATTCAAGGGGTTTTTTTTTTCATGAAACATGGACCCAAAGCGTTTTGTAAAATTCTTCCATAAAACAATTTTGCCGACTAATTTGAATCAAGCGAAATACCGTTTAGACGTGGACAATAGACGTGGACAATAGACGTGGACAAATGTTAGCAATCGTTTTATTTCTTTAATCTCAATTTCAGTTTTCGTATATTAACACGGAATATTTCTGAAACTTATCTTATACTAAGAAATATTCCCTCATCATCAAATACATCTCTCACAAATACAATGCCGACTTTATAGTGAGTGAATATAGTTTAACGCCGTTATAGCAATATTCCACCAATATCACGGCGGGGGACACCAGAAATGGGCTTCATACATTGTACCCATGTAGGGAATCCAACCCACGGGTCTTTGGTGTGACGAGCGAACGCCTTAACCACTAGGCTACCCCAACCACACATTGTACACATATGTTGAATGAACCCAGTCCTGCATCGTCACGAGCTAGCGCGTATGACGACAAGGCTACCCAATAAGCTGGTTCCCGGCTCCCTTTGCGCGCGCTAACGTATTGCGATATGCGAGACGGGGCCCAGCTTAGGCTACCCAACACCTTGTCTGTCATGCAGACCCCGAAACAAATATATCCAAGAAAGCCCATGCCCAAGAAAGTCCAGATTTTCACAGTTTCAGTTTCTGAAAATGAGGAAAGTCTCTGGGCTCCTTTTCTTCATATTTTATGATTATTGTTTTATGAACAGTTTTTCTTCTGTGAAATATGTTCATGTCTGTGACTAGATGTTGGTCTACCCAACACCCCGTCCTTAGTTTTTGACGATTTTGGCTGCACCCCTCGTTTGTTCATCGAGCGGGTCCTGTATAGTGTTGTAACCTTCCTAAATCAAGCATCCAAGTTGGCCGCCATTTTGTCAAAGACACTCGATTCTTTTCACCTTTTTCTACTTTTTGAGCATTCAATTAAAACATTACTTTCTAGGGGATAGAGGCGAGAGGTTCAGCATAGACAAAGACAAACTGCCCCCTGGGGAGCTCAAGAAATATCAGGATGCTTACCGAAAGAACGCCATGAATGAATACGTCAGCAACATCATCGGCGTGAGACGGAGGATGAGGGATAGCAGAGTGGAGGGGTGAGTTATCCACAGGAGCAAAAACTCATGTCCGTACTTGCTGTGTTTTATATGATCGATTTCTTCATGTACATTGAAATTAATACGAGTTATCTCCCTTACCCTTTCTCCGTCGCCCTGTCCCCAATGCCCACGTTTCAATGAAAATCAAGGGCGGGTAATTTGCAGTGGCTTTGATTTCTAGATAATACGTATTATCTCCCTTACTGTTTCCCTGTCTGTAAAGCCCACGTTTGATTGGCCGTTATATGTAAATCAAGGGCGGGTTTTGCGATCGCACGAACCACGGGAATGGATC